TCAAGGCCCGATATAACCTCAGCATGCACGTACGTATGACATGCAACTCACTCAATATGGGAGGAAATAAAAAATCATTCATATCCATCTTCATAATTCCCTGGAGGAAGAGATTGCTGCAACACCATTTGGGATCTGTGTTTACTGAATAAAACAGCTGCAGCTTTTTTTCCCCTTTGTCTTCTTGACGCTGGTTTACTTTGGCAGACATGCATAAACAGACAGATGTTTTTCATGTCAAATTATATCAAAAGCAATTAAGCATTTGGAGTGCTGAGATGGCACTGATATTACATCCCCCCTCATTTGGTGATGGCTGCAATGCACTTATTTCACTCATGGCAGGGCATGCTGCACAGTGGGCTCCTTGACAGCTGTGCTCGTGTTTGTACTGAATGTGCATGAGTTTGTGCCTGAGTGAGAAAGTTAAACACTTCTGTGCGAGTTTTCTGAAGCGAATACCCTGCATTGTAAGTGTGATTTCACACTTTCCATAATTGCTCCATAGTTGCTGGTTGACCACTCCACACATTGTGAGTGCACAGACGTGTTCAGTTTGGAAATGTCTCAGTTGGAGGAGTTAGATCATCCTCCTCTTCCTCGTCTTCCTCATGTCAGGCATCACTGCTCAGACAGCAATTATGCGCCGCAGAGGCCCCACAGTCATGCTTGCACAAGACTGTGATGGGAAGGGGTGGAGGCTACTGGATGTTTTTCTAAATTGACTGAGTAATGCACCCTCTATATTGTACTTATTGTCTTTGGAGGGGGAAGGATATACACATCTACAAAAACACTTCACATGAAGTTGTAGACGGAGCAGATAAAAAAATAAATAAAAATAAAATTCACATACCGTTTTCTCATCCCTTGATAACCTTAATTCCTGCATTTATTTCCTATTTACATATCTTATTAACTTTTATCCTATGATGTGAATGCTAATGAACACAGAAGTATTTTATTAGCATGCAATGTAAAAAGTTGTAATCTCTGACTGCGTAAGCATTCGCTTTGAAGTGTTGTTTGATCAAATGCCTGTGAAAATGTAATGTCAGTAGAAAAGTTATTGCACTCTAAGATTGTTCATTATCAGGTAAATGGGCCATGAGCTCCTAATTAACTCTTTCCAGAGTCTCGGTACCTGAATTGCAAAGGCTGATCTCCTTTTGGTCTTTAGACTTTTGAACATCCAAAATACAAACTTCACAGGATCTCAGTCAGCAAGCTGTCGCATATGGAGTCCCCCAATGGGCTTTAAAAGTAATCAGTAAGATGTTAAAATCACTTCTAAAATTAAGTAGCAAGTGAAGTGACGCCAGGATAGGGAAATATGCTCTCATTTTAGTGCCAGAAAGATACTTATTACCATATCCAGAAGGAGGGGAATTACAATAATCCAAATGGGACATTACAAAGGAAGTTGCCAGGCTTGTTTTGGGGAGGAATCCACTTAATAGATATTATGAGTGTGAATTAGATGTGGAAGAGGCAGTTTGAAAACATGCCATGAAGAAATGAGGGTCCCCTCAGAGATGTTCTGAAATGACCTACACAAAACGTTCCGCCAGAGAGTTAAAGAACAGTACTGTGTTGACAATGGCCACCCAGTGCTAGCTAAGTCTGCTAAACTATATCAACTGTATCAAACATTGCATGATGTAGAAAACTTGAAAAGGATTTCTCTTATTGTTTCATAATCATTCATTTCTTGTCTTGAGGAAGGCAGTTTGAGCTCTGTGATAAGCTTTAAAAACCAGACTGAAACCTTCAGACTGGGTTCTCATTAATAAAAGCTGGCAGTTGATCTATAATTTCCTCCAGAACTTTTGCCAACAAAAAAAGATACTTGAGATGGGTCCAAAAGTCACTGGGACCAAGTGCAAACCTTTCCAGCAGAGGTTCAAATGGTGCATTCAAAAAAAGACAATGGCAACAGTGAACCATTAAACTCCTGTTAAGGAGAGCTTTCCTACTTAATGAGCTATAACTGAAATTGTTGTTGATATATGTATATCCTGCAGCTTTTTAAGAGAGTTTGGTTCGCATTGCATCTATTTTCACATACCACCTACACAGGTGCTCATCATTCCTTTAAATGAAGGTTCATTTAAAGGAATGATTAAATGCTGAAAATATAGTTTCACTAACTGTTTTCTCGCCTTTTGAAACAATTATATCATTGAACTTTACTTACGTAGTTATGAGTTAACTGCTTGTTATTACCCTATCATACCCACGTATTTCCTTTTTTCTTCATGAGACAGATGACAGTATAGAGGCAGACTGTAAATGAGGGGAGCGATAGAGGGGTATTACATGCATTAAAGATCATGGCCAGAATCGAGCCCGGACATTGTATATGGCGTGCACCGTAAACATTTGGCTACCAATGCGCTCCATTATGTCTTTTGGTTTGCTTCATTGTGGCACCCTCAACCTTTTATGAATTAAGATCTTGGATTAAACTCAAAGCATATTTCAAACAGGAATTCATACTAAAACCAATACAGCTTTTTTTCATACTAAACCTGGAGCCCTATCAGAAACAAACCTCCACACTTATCTGGTGCCATCATCTGCGGATGCCAACGTTATTGATATTCGGGATAAAAGTAAGCCCTCTCTGTTGTCTCTGTGGGGTTCGTCCACTGTGAAGGCCAGATCAGAGGCTCCTCTGACCGGAGATGAGCCTGACTGAATCACAGGCTGCTAAAGAGAGAGATTTTATTTATTTAGAAATTAAGGACATATTCAGCACGGTGTAACTCAGGGTAGCACTTGTTTGTCAAGGTCTGACAGACTCTGGCATCCTAATGACTGATGAGGACAACAACTTTGCTGTGTGAGATTGAGAGAGGAAATGCCCAGAACAGTGGGAGTATTGACTGTCAACGCAAAAAAAAGCTGAAGTTCAAATAACTTGAGAAAGAAAGAAGGCTCACTCCGCCCTTCCTTGTAATATTATTAGTGGTGTAATTTACGACCCGAGAGTTTCAAAAAGATGTAGCTCACCACTCAAGTTACTGAGGCAGATATATTTATGAAAAGCTGTGTTTTAGATTAATGAACAAGCAACAGGGGGGTCTTTTGACTTTTAAATTAAATTCTTAGTAGATACATTTTTCAGACGGGGTTTAGCACAAGTAAGACAGATAATTATAGGTCTTTGTGATTACAACACACAAATGCATCAAACCCTGACTGCTGCAAACGGGGAGCACGCTCATTAATAGTAGCATAAAAAAATGCAGGAGTGGGTATTATAATTACAAGGCACAAGCTTCTATCACACTTCCGTCTGCGCTCCTTCCAGAGAGCCTGAGCGATGAACCTGCTTCATGAAAGGATGAAATTCAAGATGTTATGGGCAGTAATTAAAAAAAAACACATTAAAACATCACCACCCTCTTAGGTTTTACAGCTGGCATGTCAGGTACTTTTAGTTTCCACAGTATTCAATATATATATATATATATATATATACTGTGTATATATATATACTCGAGTTGTCACCAGCTCACTTTAGGCATATTGTTGATTACATGTGAAATATGTGTGCATGTAAAAGGGATGAATTAAGGTAATTCAAGAAAAAACAAAACATGAATAAGAACTCTGTATAACTCGGTGATTTTGCTCACACGGTTCAGCCTGTCATGGTGCTATAACTCCTAATGACTGAAAGCTTTATATTTGATTAGACAGTGAAATTTAAATTAACATTCTCTTATATCTGAATGACATGGATGATTTTCCTACACAGCATGAGTAAATGAATATGTGTAACCTAAATATACTTGTGTTACTCTGTGTTTGATCATGTGAATTGTTTATTCTGTTGTTGCCATTAATTGAAACATCCTTCACTTTGGCCCAAAGCACCGGCGCTGAGTTTTGTACAATATATTCACCTGAATCTCCTACATGATCTGTCTCATGTATTTTTAAAACTCTCTGGATGGACGGATAACATACCAAAACGATACTGATACGATTTGTTACAGAAATTAATCAGTTATTTTTCAAGTCAGCATGTATGTGTGAGGTAACTGTAAATTGCTTCAGAAAGATAGAATAAGAAAGATTAGACCAGAATAATGGGCTGTACCTGTATTTGCTACAATACCCCAATAAACAGTGTGACATAGCACTAATTTATTACTTTTCATAGTTTTTGTAGTATGCAGGCAGCTTTCTAATTACTTTTCCTAAAACTTTTGAAACAGTAGTTTTGTAATAAGAGTCTTTTGCTTTTCACTTTTTCAGCAAGGTGTACTTTTACTTAAGTATGTATTTGAATTCCATTTTGCGCCACTGATCTCAATGGAAACACCTTATCACTGCTCCTGCTGGCTTTTTCTTGATTTAATGAACCACCAGTTATTTCATAAATCAACCAATTTAGCCACTAATGAATAAAACAATCCTCAGATTTAACAGGCTTTGGGAGACTTATCCCAGAGGGCTGATGTGGCAAAGTTTAAATCAGTCAGTTTGAAAGCTGTGGAGTATAAACCAGAAAGTGTTGGAGCCCTCAAGGATGATAATTATCGACTTTAGAGATTTACCTGCATGTGGAATAGTCCACATATATCTGAGGCATTATTTCCTCTTTTCTTTTAGGGCTGTTGAGTGGTCAATGCAGGAGTAGATAAAAATAGTAATGTTAGTTGTTTTTTTCAGAAACGCTATACAAGGTAAAAAACCTATACCACAGAGAAAAACTATTCTACTGTTTTAGATATTATAAAACCGTTATTCCAGTAAGCTTCATGGGAGTATTATTTATTCGTGTTCTTTGTTTTTCATTTCTTTTCATTTCAGCTGATTGTTTGTAACTAATATGACCTTTATCCTCCAGTGCATTTGCTTTTTTAGTATTCTTTTTTAACAACAAAACATTTTTTCAGTGCCAAACATGGGTTTTTGGAAAACATATTTATTGTTCCATCAACAAGAGGGCTGTTTATTAAGTAAAGACTACTCTGCCTTCACAGGTACCGTTTTGGTGGAAAACATGCAGATAAATGGCCGAGCCCAAGACCCAGGCAGAACCATCTCACTGACGTTGCTTGACAACTATTACTACTGGGTGATACTGGAACCAGCACGACAGAGGCTCTACCTCAACAGCACCGGGCGCATTCTGGACAGAGACGTGAGTACAGGACTAAGGATGGTGATGTGTATGGAAATCAGGGGAAATAAAGTCACCCTTGTGTCTCTGTGTTTTTAAGTAAATCTATTTTCCTTCATTTATGAATACATGTGAGCTTGTTGTGCGGAACAGTATTTCACACAAGCTATTAATCACTGGTCTCATGGTAATGATTCAGTGTTGTGTACACACGGTATCCGTTTAATGTTAATCATAGGTGAGTCAGTTTCGTCATACTTATTTTTACCAGGGCCGTTTAAATGTACTAATTCGTCAACATTATTATAATTTCTGAGGCCAGTGGGAGGCCATCCACATGATGAAAAAACAAAGCATATTCAGAGGTTTTAATTGGCTGTTTAGGGTGATGTGGTCTTTTTACAGTAGCGGTGACAAAAAGTTTAAAAGAGGTTCTAAAAATGTTGTATCTTCTTGTGCTCATAATACAACGAAGAAAAGCAACCAATGAGTCGGAAGATTTCCACTAGAAAGTACGGTGCAGAACGTGCATAACGTGCATAACGTGCGTTGAGTGCGTTGAGTGCATTGAGTGGATGGCCACAGCAGGAATAGACAGCATTTTGTTAATTAGACACAAATTGTTGTGCGTGTCCATGCACTTTGAAACGTACTTTACTATTATTATTTATTTCAGGAATCTATACAGGAAATACATATTTATACAGGAAGTGGTACGAACAATTACAATATTTTAAAGCTCCCCCTAAATTTCTCAAATGGCTTTCTGGTATTTTAAACCCTGATCATATTTTTTTGTTTTTACTGACTAACTACTACCTGCACACATGACAGAGAATGATCAGTGACCTGGATAAGATGTTAACTTTCCATACAATCCCGGTTGCTATCAGGGTGCTCCAGCTAGCATATCCACGTTTCTCACAAGTGCAACACAGCAGGATGCTTCTTTCATTTTGTTATGTTGCCTCCTTTTTTGTGGTTGTGTTTCATCTTTCATGCTTACAAACAGATAAGGAAGGGGATAAATCAAACATGGCATGTGAGATGGCCAAAATAAGGTTTTTGCAAATTTGACTGATATTAGCAGTCATGACAAAGTGATCAATACGATAAGGCAATTGATCTTGCTTATAATCGTTTAATCTTTACCATTACCTTCATTTGAATAACTAATTGTAGCTCATGATGTTTTTTACTGTTGCTTAGCTACAAAGAGAAAACATTGTAGATGTAATGTAGCATCAATTTTGCATTGGTTCAGCCTAGATTGATAATTAACCCCTAGTGCTAAATATAGTAAGTGAAGGAATAAATCCAGACATTGTGTCTGTATGTAATGTGTTCAGTTCAGTTCTGCAGGGTACCCAGTAAACCTGCAGTGAATACAGATCAGTTAAAATGGTAGAGTATAGGATGTGAGGTGTGGGGTTCACTGGGTGTTAAGTGCTGTGACTGCCGTGGGAAAGAAGCTGTTTTTGAAGTGTGTGCTTAGGTTGTATGGACTATGGGGGATGGAGCTATACTTGAAGCTGCTAATGGGAATATCTTAGAAATATGGCCATTTAACGGGAGAAATGACAACAGGGGAGGAGTGCATGGGAATCAAACCTTTGCAAGTGAGAAGGAGAGAGGGGGAGGAAGAAGCTGACCAGGCTTCACCATTACTGTTTCTAAATCCAGGTGACAGGCAGTGGTGGCGGTGAGACAAGCTGTCGCTGTCCAATATACTTTTTAAACAGAACATTGCACAAGGCCGGCAGCTCTGCTTGATCAGACATTTGAATAATTTACTACATTATTTATTTAAAAAAGCGATATAAGGCTGCACAGTAAAATAATAATTAAAAAAAACAATAGCTGTGGTTTGTTTACACCAATATAATTGCACCAATTCATCCAGACTGAAGTAGAATCAGTCAGGATGGATTCAATGTCAGAATACAGCTCACCAAAAAAAACACATTGATTCAAGTAAATTGATTTAGTAAAAAACACTGGTGGATGCTGGAAAACAGACTTTTTTCCCCCCAGAAACCTCTCTCCCCTCTGTCTTATAGCTTTGATTATCATTTGTATGTCTTGTTTGTTTGCTGTACTGGTTAGGTAGCTTGTTTACTTGGAGTATTTTAAACCAGTGGAGGTCAGTGCAGCGGCTCTCATTTGATTATCTCCGAGAAAGTACACATGTTGTTCACATATAACAACGTTCAGTGTGATTCTTCCAGAGAATGAAGTGTCTTTCTTTCTCTCTCTCTCTCTCTCTCTCAGCCACCCAACTACATCACCACCATCGTGGTTCAGGTCCAGTGCACCAATGAGCTGGTTGGTACTGTCATTTTCCACGAGGTACGGATTGTTGTGAGGGACATGAATGACAACACCCCTCGCTTTCAGCAGCCACGCTACTATGTTGCCGTAAACGAGGTAAGGGAGCAACTCCTGTTGTTGTCTCTGTGGGATTTGTAAATCAAGACACTCTGTGCAGAACTTTAATGTTGATTGGACCAGTTTTGTTTCATGTGAATAATTAGACGATTCCAGTGAAAATTGGTGCAGCCTGTGAGCTATTTTCATCCTATTCATCTCGGTTTCCCCGAGTCAGATCCACAAATGAGGACAAAGTGGCATACATCGCTGTTTGCCACAGAATCTGTTTGTTTTTATCCTACCAGTGGGGTCACCAGAGTCTGAATTATTCAAATCACACTGATGATCATCAACATGGTCCTGAAGAGTCAAATTAAGTTGTTGACTCAATGTTATTGAGGAACGGGACTATCCTACTGCCTGCAGCTATTTATTAGCTAGGTTCTTGTTGACTACACATTATTATGTTTCATTTTTGATACAGAAATAATATCTTCATCTTTTACAACAATTCTGTTCAATGTGGCTGTACGAACCAGGTCCTACTCCCCTGTCAGACATAACAGTCTCTACAGTACGTAGAGATCCATGCTAACTGGCCAGTCAGGAAAGCATTGAAAGAATGTTGTTGCTGCTCGCTCTGCATTCATTTACATACTTCTTCTCAACACCAGGCGTGATAACCTTTTGCCTGCGGAACAAACCTGCAATTCATCAAATCTTCTGAATTTACAGCTCATGTGTTTTGAGATTAGGAGATAATTCCCTGCTGAGTTCCATTGTTTACACTTTGTGTACATTGCATGTTAGAGGTTCCTGTCACAGTGTGTTATCCTAGCCGTATGCAGCTGCCCCAGCAGTATAGTGAGTCATTCTACATTGCTGTCAACTTCTCCCCTGAACAAGCGCTCCTGCTTGCTGCCTGGTCCTGTGGACCAGAGCTGAGGGCTCTGGGGAAAAGCTGTGGTTCTCATACTTACTTTTTGTTATTCTGTCAGCACGTAAGTCTTCAGACTGCTGCTGACTGCAACATTTCCTCTTTTAGATATTTTTTTTCTTTTTGTGTACTAATGGGCTTGGGTGGCAACAGTAATAGCTATATGCATGGCAGGCTCCCTGCTGTAAGTAGATGTTGTACTCACAGGGGAATGTTTGAGCAGTTGACTTTTCTTTCAATCTCATATTTTCCTGTAGCTCACACCAGTTGGAACGACCATTTTCACTGGCTTCTCAGGAAATAATGGAGCTACGGACATTGACGATGGGCCCAATGGACATATAGAATATGGCATCCTTTACAACCCCAATGACCCGGTATATGGACGAGTCACGCCATGATAAACACCCTCTACACCATTGTAAATTTCTTCAAGAGTCATGACTTATTGCTCACATCCACCTTTCCTCCTGTCTAATCATATCAACTCTCTTTTTCTTTCAGGCATCAAACAGTACAGTGAGTGTTGCAAACACCCTTTCAGGACACATTATTCTGGCAGAGAGGCTAAACTATGAGGAGAGAACTCGCTACCTGGTTTTGGTCCAAGCTAATGTAAGTGGCTTTTGATTAATCTGGTGATAAGTCCAGTAAGTGCTCAATGTCAACAAATTATAAATAGACTCTGATTGTATACGTTTTTTTTGTGAGGTAAAGAACTCACTTGCAAATACACAAATATATCAAGATTCCCTTTTTCTTCAGTAGCAGCGGCTGTATTCACATTTGAAGCGAGGAATTGAATCACTTAAGGTCCTCTTTCTTTTGGCCTAAGAGAGTAAGAGAGTGTTTCCACCATATTTCAGATCTTTCTAGGTCTAGAGAGAGGACGTTAATAACATGACGTCATTTAACTAGCACAAATTCAGAGATCGCTCACGGTCGGTGATTAAAGCAGAGACTATTGAACCCTCAATGCTTTCAATACTACTTACTTGTTTTTCTTTCATTAAAAATGATTGAAGCTGTCTTTGAGACATTCTATGATAACTGTTGGTAGTATGTATTTTCCAGAGCAACTTTGCAAATCAGAATTAATTATGGATGCATAATTATGGATGTTACTTGAGGGAGGGAATTTTCCTTTCCACTCTCACGGGGCAACATGTCTGTAAAACAAGTAAACATGTCAGTACGAGTTATAATGAAGGCACTTTTATTCTCTTTTTCTAGTCCTCACCCTAAGACACTAGGCAGTAAATGTCTGTTGACCAAGAGCTACCGCAAAGCCACTGGCCAAGCATTTGACTTCAATTAGACAAACACCCAGGCTGGGATTTAAGGGTTCCCTGTTTCTATATCAACAGTGTTGGATGTTTCAGAACCTTATTGATTGAAAGCTGTGAGTCTCAATATACAGAACCTTTCTTCACAAAAAAACAAAAGCAACAGTTATCATGTCACATCATTATAATCACTTCCCAGTCACTGATAACATAATCATTTACCTTAACAAGCAGTGGTCGAATATTACACCCAATACGATAAAAAGGAAGCACTGCAGGACAGATAAGCATTTAGCAGTTAACCAATCTTCTATTCTCTCCATTTCCTGCATGAGGGAGCAAAAGACTCATTCCTTTACTCTGGCAAGAGGTCCTCCAGGGAGATTTTTATTTTCTCTTGCAAGAGGACATCAGAGTAGAGAAAGAAAGAAGACATGGTATTTACTAGAACTCTGTGCTGCTTGTGTCAAGAGTTCAATTACACTAACAGTGCAGATCTTTGATGTGCCGTGCTGCTCACTTCTCAGGGCACAACTCTGGGAAGCAGCAGTACAACAGTGGGCGATCTTTAATGATAGCTGCTGAAAAGATGTGTTTTATTGGCAATAATTACTTCATAAGAATGAGTTTAAGTAGAATATAGAGTCGTACTGTTCTATCTGGTTTGAAGTGGTCTGATGTTTAATTTTTGCATCATAATATCGCTTACATTTAAAAACATATGCATTTATTATGTTGCAAAACATTAAGCAAATCAGGCAGCTAACTTCTGACATTTAACATGATGCTTTAACAAATAATTTATATTGTAGTAAAAAAAAAGCCATTTGTTTAAGTGTTTTATTTCAAAACGCTCCTACGACCTATTTTTCAAATTGTCTTGTTTAAACAAGTTTTCCTAATTGCATTGAGATAACAAATGGGTTATTTAGAAGTGATGATGGTCTGCTGTCAAAACAGCACATTCAAAAATTATTCTTTTTTTATACTGCAGAAAATCTTTCAATCATGTTCTACTTAAAGCATAAGAAAATGTGTTCCAGTACCCTTTCCTGAAGCCAGACAAATGAGGAAGAAAAACAATGAATGCATGACTGTGAGCTTCCACAACGGCAAACAACTATAATATATGCTCAAGAACAGCTGCAGAGATCTGTCATGGTTTTAAAATGTGATATTGATTAGAGCTCAAGCAGTGTGTGTTTACGGTGCACGAATCAACAAATCGTCTGGGAGTTTGAAGTTTGAAATTGAAAGCGTTTTCTTCATCTTCCAGGACCGCGCTCCATACCCACCCAACAGACGAACTGCTACCACAACTCTGACTGTGGACGTTCTGGACGGAGACGACCTGGGCCCCATGTTCCTGCCCTGCGTTTTGGTGAACAACACCCGTGACTGCAACCCCCTCACCTACCGTGTTGCTATCCCTGAATTCACTGAACCGGTAAGAGAACCATGCAGACGGGCAACTGTGAACACGCTGCTGTTCCACAAGGTCATTTTAACAGAATTCCTCCTGTTATTGGTATGTGCATATTTATATTTTCATCTCCAGTCATCCTGCGTGTGCCACATAGATTCAGATTTGTGATACATTTGTACTACAAATGTTCAACTATGCCAGCATGTTAAGAAGCCTAATTGTCCGCTTACACCTTGTCTTTGCCTCCTCACATGTAGGCAGAGTAACATTTGCTGTTGTGTCTCAGCATGGTTATTCCAGGGGCATTTTCTGGTCTGTTGGACCAGCAATTAGAGCTGAAGGCTGAGTTGACCTGGGATGACAGCCATAACACTGCTGGAATTCACAGAAGCAAGACAAATAGAGAGGGAGATGAGATAAAGAGTCTGAGGTGGTGCACCAATAGAAATGATATGTATATCTATATCTATGTCTATAGAATTCTATATATACTGTGTATTTCTATGTATTACTGAACTGATATTAACTGAACTAGAGTTAAAACAATCTCACATCAAGGTCATCTGAGCACTGTTCTGGAGGTTTCTATCATATCACATTGTCTTCATCAGAAGATGGAGTCTGATCAGCTGCCATGGAACTACAGACGTGTAGACTTTCCATTATTCAGAGCACCTCAAGGACTTCTTATATAAGTGAAGAGTTTGACAGTTTATTCTGGATCTTTAATTAGGGCTGGGCAATACAGCGATATTATATCCATATACTATTCTAGATGTCGTCATAGATTTTGGATTTCGTAAAATGGCAAAAAAAGTGTTGTGTATTTCTGGTTTTAAAGGCTGCATTACAGTAAAGTGGTGTACTTTCTGAACTTAACACACTTCTTCATTATTTTCACATCACATATTTTGTGAAAGCACCAATGGTCAACCCTATAATATCGTCCCAATATCGCAACGAGGTATTTGGTCAAATAAATTGTGAAATTAGATTTTCTACATATCGCCCAGCCCTAACTTGGGAACAGTAGTTAACAAACAAGCTCAACTAAAAGTCTACTTACTCGCTTGTTCTGGTTTTTTTTTTAACTGTATTACACAGTTGTCATCAGCAGTCTAGACCACATTAGACAAGTGGACTGGATTGAACTGTCTTGAATTGGATTGGACTGGAGAAGTCTGGATTGGACTTGATTGGATTTACTGCACTGTAGGGGATTGAGGTTGGCATTGCAGTGTCTTCAAAGCAGGAAAGTTTGCGAGTTTGTTGCAGTCGTTACAGTATTGTATACTGCTTGAAACAGAGAAAATAATTACTATAACTATAAAATAACACTTTCACATTAACCACAAACTGAGCATGTGTTGTTAATGTGAATTATTGTGACGTCAGAGCATTTTCCGAATACGTAGAATTGCTTGATTTACAAATAAGTGCCAAGTTATTTTGTTCTTTTTGTTAATTGGAGCTTGACAAACTAATTTATAGTTTGATTAGCTCCACAAACTGAATTATGATGAAACTATAGGATACACAACGCTGATAATTCTGCTCTGAAGCAGTATTGGGAAAAGACTGCATCAAGCATTGGGTTAAGTGTGTGGGTTGACATGTGTCGAACATATAGATTTGAACTGAGACAGAGAGAGATTAACTAGCACAGAAGCCTGCAATCATGACACAACAGAAGCTATTTGGATTGGTTGAGAAAATGAAAGGTTGTAGATTGCGTCCCACAGAGAGAGAAGGGGAGCTGCCACAGTGCGTCACAGTTGTTTGTCCAGACTTTCCATTCAGAGTTTGCCCATGTAATGTATAATTTATGATAAAAGGTTTGCAGACTGCTAAGTATGCAGGACCTGGGAGCACCGGGTGCACAAACCAAAGCTTTTTCATTAGTGTGAGAAAATGTTGCCCTTTTTCCCTGTCTTCCTGCTTTTCCCCTGGAAACACTGCATGGTTTCATCCTGCCCAAGCTTCATGCCTATAAAACCTGATGTTACACTGATATTACATCCCTTTAATGTATGTATACTGTTGTATTACTCTCAATAGGATGTCTCCTCTTTACATTTAGAGTTTCTTAAGTCTGTTTCATAACATGAGTCTTTTTTTGCTTTCCTTAAACAGTGTTTAATTTCATAGCTTTGCAGTTTTTCATCAGTTGTTTTCCTCTATTCTGCAGTGTAACCATTATGCTAACATATCTGTCCACGGGGAGATTTGTCGTCTCATAATTGATGAGTGTATTGTAATTAATCACTATGGCTAGACAGGCATTATTAAGTTGATCTATATTTATTTTTTTGCCCTGGGGGGATATAATGTGGGCTCTGGAGTCCCCTTGATAATGACTGCTGGAGGAGGGTATTATAGCTAATCATCATTGTGCAGAGCTAGAGGGATTTGATTTAGCGCACCTCCAGACATTGTAAAAGCGAGAGGGCTGGTTAGGGAGGGGTGTAAGGATTACTCCAGAGCTGAGGGATATAAATGTGCCCCCTCAGGGAGGGATTCTTCCTGCCAAAGAGCTGTTAGCCATGTGCCTGTCTATGCTAAGGAAGTTTAGCGCAGGCCTCTTAGCATACTCGCGCATACTGTATCGGCCATATTGAGGCATTTTGCATCAGGAGAGGTATTCTTAAATGTGATGTGCTAAACATATTCCCACTTAGCCATATGTTGGTGCAAAAGTGGAGAGGCAGAGCTGGGCAATTAGTGCTATGACGTCTGAGTATGCATGAGCAGAAAAGTAGCCTGCAGCACCACAACAGATTACCCTCAATGTGCAACTCTATTATGCATTTTAAAAGTATGCATATGAGAAATATATCTTATAGCACTGGCTTATTAATTAAATATCCTTATAATTGGCTAGTGTGCTAAACATGTTTACTGGCCAACATCCAGAATTTGGTTCTTTAATTGGATATCAGAAAGAAGGGACACCGATCCAACTATTTCAGTACCGATACCTGAGCTTTGGGTATCGGCTATGTGTACGGCAACATCAGGCTTGATTAAACATTGCTTTTTTTAACTTTGTAAAACAAACTACAACAAGTAAATACATCGGTATAAATTAACTGAAATGTTATTTATTAAATTAATGATATCTGATACCAGCAATCAGCCCATTGTCACCTCTACCCGATTCAGCTATTTGAAATATCAGCATCGGTATAAGTGCATCTCTATCAGAAATATTCTCTTTGTTTCTTTTAAAAGTCATAAAATTCATTCTTCAAAGATAGCCAATTGCAGCAGCTCCTCTCATCCCCTTCAAAAGCAGAAAACAGTTTAATGGGCCAGGAAGAGAGTCCAGGGAAGCTTCTCTAAAGAGCTGTTTTCATCCGGAGGAGCACGGTTGCAAGGGATATACAACACATCAGATAAGATTATACAGCAGCTAAAATATTGATATATAGCCCACACAATATGTTTTCCAGGGCTGATGATATCCCATCCAAGTGGAATTTTCCGTTTCATAACGCACTGAAACGTCTGTCTCTGCATAATCATGCTCTCATAGGAGACAATATCTGTGCAACTGCGGGCTACAACTTCACAGGCAACAGAAAATAAACAGGTTTGCATCTGATTGTCTTGCTGTGTTGTTGACTGACTCCCCCTCCTCTTGTTGCAGAGCAAACTGAACCCACTGAATGTCACCCCTGCAATCCGGGCCGTGGACATGGACAGAAACATACAGCCTCCATCCGACAGACCTATAATTCTTTACTACATCCTGGTTGGTAGGTTCATCTTGATTGATTTTACACATTTGATGTTCTTTGGCTCAGTCGGGAAGCTGTGACTTGACTTTGGGATGTTCATTCGGGCTGTTCTTGATGTTATCATAAAGTGCACTGAATCCAAAACTGTGAATATTTCTATTCTTTATTGCAGGTCATCCAGTCACATATCCAGAGTATTTCTCCCTGAATAGAACCACTGCAGAGCTGCGTGTCCTGCAGCCTATCAGCAGGGATTTGTATCAAAGGTTCACTCTCATCATCAAGGTAAACATTCAAATTCTGAACCAGTGCTAGTTTTATTTTGTCAAAGGTCACAGGGACATCACCTATACTATTCAAGCATAGATAGGAATAGCTAAAATAAAAAATAAAAAAGTCAGTTTAAAGTCATGGAAATCCATTGGCCAAAATATGAATGAACCCTGCATTTACTGAACCAGATGGAGCTTGATTGTCTTCATCAGGGTTCAGCCCAAGGTAAAATATTGGTACTCCTGCTGCCTCTGCATTAGGTAAGCAAAGTTTTATGAAACACCTTAATTCTGTATAATGCTTGTGCCACATCAAGTTTAATTTATATCTCGAAAACTTAAGCATGTGCCCTCTCCAGATAATCTCAGTCCTGAAGGCCATTAACCTTATCTTGAGCTGCTTTGGAGATTGGGAAAAAGATGTTATGATTTATGGACTTAGCAGGAGGATGACCTGCTGCACTTTCCTGAACCCTAATTTAGAGCAGAGTCAGGGATTGCCTCGTTGCAGCAGTGCAGATGAACTTTCCATCCAGCCATCACTAACCTCTAGACACCTCTGAGCGCTGTGTAACCTGCTGTTTACCGGAATAGCTGGGGAGCAAAGAGATGAGAGGAAGAGCTGATTTCCACAAGCGGAAGAAGGCGAAGGGCGATTGATCATATGAGAGGCATTTTGCATGTCTTCGGGAGGATTGTGCATAGCTAGGGGAATGGAGACAGTTCAAAGGGGGAGCAGGAAAACACCAAGATAGATGGAGAGATGTGTGTGGAGGAGGCAATGTAGGAGCCTTATCTACCTCAGTCATAAAGATGGGGCGGAATCGTTACTCAAGGACTCCAAGGGGCAGGGAAGTGAGAATTAGACTTTGGTATCTTGAGAGTGCTCTGATGCAGCACAGTATGTGGTGCACATAGCTAATGCTTTAGGACGTAAAAAAAAAAAAAAAAACATTGATGGAATGAGCTGCAGCATCTCAAGCATATTTAAGAAAACACATCTCTTGTTCTTTAAAGGTCAGACCTGACAGAGTCAGAATGACTGGGATGAAATGAAGACAGGTGACAAAGGCAGATTGAGAAAGAGAGAAAAAAAGAGATCCAGTATGACACTCTCAGAATGATGGAGTCAGGACAGGAATCAAGGCTAATAAACTGACTTTTAGAAGCAGTGAATCTCCTCCAGGTTTCTGTGTTGAATCGGTGGAGCGCAGGTCATTTAGCGCTGCCTCCCTGATATAGGGACACCGCTAAAGAGCCGAATCACCAGGGAACAATGTAGACCTACATCCCGTCTTTTCTCTCTCAGACAAAAATGTTTGTGTCAATGTCGAGAAAAAGAGCCGAGAACAGCCAAGCGCACACACTTTGTCCGTCAATGACACCACTTTTTCCTCCGGTGTTTGTGTGAGCAGATTGGATCTTTAGGTCAGTGCAGTGTGGGTGTTCTTTAGTACCACTCAGATAAGGGGGAAAAAGGTAGAAGATGTTTAGAAAAGAGAGGCTGGCATAATATAGCGATGCCAATAAAAATATGAAATGGAGTGAAACTCGAAACTTGATGTGCCAAAACTGCAAAAAGAGTGTAGCAGAGCTCTGCAATTATATGATATACACACAAGACAAGAAAATACAGAGGTCTTTTTTTTTGGCCCCAGCACTTTACCGTTTAGCTGTAGCACTATATTCTCCTGTTGCAATCGGTTCTCTGCAACACAAGCCCAGTGAAATCGAGCTAATGTGCAGAATCTGTTCCAGGTCATGGCTTAAACTGATGTCGCCTGACTCCCCCTCTCCATCTGTATTTTCAAAGCCTTAATGTTTATGAAGCATCCCAGTTTGGGAGCCAATAGTGACATATGTGCCGAGGGAAAAGATTGCAGTGACAGCCTAGCCAGACCACATTCATCTGGTCTGCTCTCACTGGGCTGGTTTAAGACACAACTCGGGTTAAAGTGCAGCCTCTTCAGGTTTTTCTTGCAATTTGAAAAGCTGGGACAACACACATTTTGATTTGTGGTAATGTACTCAGCTACTTAAGCAGTCATGTCACCAACTGTGCTGGAAAATGAGGGGAGAGGACTGTTTACGTTTTGATGATTGTGCGATACAGTTTGATTCGTGTTCCACTGAACGTGACATGAATACAAGCTGGTTTTGGATGCAGGTGAGTCAACATTTCATTCATGCATTTTTGGGAGTGTACAGCTCTGGGAATTTATTGAGCTGTTTTGTCACATTTAGTAGTTCAGTGACCCTGCATGTTCTCATATTTTGAAATATATTATAGATTTAGAAATGACATTGATTACATGTAGTATATCTTGGAGAACATTGGTGGTTTTGTCATGAACTGACTGATTGAGCAATTTCACTCTTACTATTTATATCAACTTGCAATGTGACATTTAAATGAGTTGTGTTCCACAGTTGAGCGCTGCATGTCAGTTTTGGAGAAAGATATTAACATGCGGAAGAAATGAAGAGGCGTCAGCTGGGATGTTGTCATATCAGACTGTTCCATGGTTCACTCAAGCTTTCAGGCAAAACAGAAACACTGTATGGAAACGCACAGGATTCAGCTCAGTTGAGTTAATGGAGAAAGACCACTTTGCTAGTACCCTCATTTATTAGTCAATTCTGGCACTGACTTCGTGGGTAATATTTCCATTGAGCCTCCTTCCATCACTGGTCACCCACTCAACGGTGTAGCAAGAGCTACCAATTACTGCCTCTGCCCGACAAATGATGGGATTTGCGTTAAGTGCTCTGGTAATTACTAAGGCCTAATCCAAAGTGGACCCTTGATTAAATTTAGTCAATGTAGCTTTTTGTAATTAAAATAACATTCTGAGAAATTATGTCTTTCTGTCCCTGTGCCTGCGTAAGAGTTTGGACAGCATAACTTTCATCATCCAACTCCTTATTAGTACTTCCTAATACATTTTCCAGCAGTAAATAAAGACTTCCTTGGCTTGTTGGTATTTGACTTTCACTCTCTTTCTTTCTCTCTTTTTTTCATTTCAGGCTGAACAGGACAACGGCCACCCCCTCCCAGCTTATGCTGACCTCATTATCGAAATCCTGGATGAGAATAACCAGGCACCATATTTCCAGTTTTTCACCTATCAGGGCTATGTGAGTGAGTCCTCCCCAGTGGGTACGACTATCTCAGCCAGTGCCAACCTCACTGCCCCACTGGGAATCATCGCTCTGGATAATGACATTGAGGAGGTAGAAAGAAAGAGCCTTTATCCAGCTATGCTCACTCTTGCCTACACTTTACACATGTCCACCCATGAATGTGTGCATATACAAACACAAAGCACTTGTAGTGCATTGATTGAATATTGATTAAAGGTCCACATTTATTCATGTGTTTATGTTGTGCAATCAAAAAGTAACACACAAATTCATGAGTCATTCTCCTGCTGTATTTTTCTCCTTGTTGTAGCTGGCTCCTGGTGATACACCTGTAGGTAAAGGGGGTTGCTTTTAGGTGCTATGGCACATACACACACACACACACAGAGAGTGTGATTTAGGGATGTCCCGATCAAGTTCTTGTTGAGTATGTTTTGAGTAATTAATCCAATATTTAGTAAAACCAAGGCTGAGCAATTTTGGGAAAATATCTAATTGACGATTGCGATTTGATTTCTGATGTGAATTTTCTAAGTTGAGCTTCAGTTCAGTTTCAAATATTTGTTGTTAGTGGGCGTATAAGCAGTCGCCTTAGGCCACTTCTGATTGGAGGAGGACGACAGGGGTTTATAAAACCATTGGGGATGTTAGAGATGAGCTGCAGGTTGCCTCAACAGTAGAGTAGTCGATTGCAGCCGGGGAGGTAACAAAAAAAGTGCCTAAAGCTGATCAGCTCAGAGTTGGCTTCACTTGACCTGCGATGGTGGATGTTACTGTAGAAGTGGATGCATTAGAAATCCCACTATTATTATTATATTATCATTAATATAAATGTATGGAGATGGACATGATGAATCACTGTCCGTTGCAGTATCAGTATTAATTTACAAGTATGATACTGACTGATTATTTCACTCTATAGATTACAGAAAAGTGCAAACTAATTTGACAATATTGGGTTTTTTCTCTCTTTCTTTCTAATAAGTCCAAAACTAATTTAATAAAGATAAAGAAAACTAACAAGATAGAAGTGGAGATAAACAATAAATTAACAGAAGCATAGGCATACCTGGAGCACAATAAGTTTCTATAAACAAAGGATCAGAAGTGGATAGACTTTACTTTGCCAATACTGACCCATTAAAAAAAGCCTCGATCAGCTTGATTCACACTTTGCAAAATGACTCGGGACATCCCTACTTTTAATTCATGCATCACTTTGCAAAAAGTAAAAACAAACTGAGCACTCATCACTGCTGGAGACATCCTAAACAACAATTTGTGAGCTTCCCAGTGTGTTCGCAACATCAGAAATTATATGTTTTCTGTTGTTTTGAAACTTCACAAAACGGTGTATTAAATGCTCCACAGCTCTCCGGTAAAGATGGGTGTGTGTGTAGATTAATCTAGCTGATGCACTGACATTTGTATCCTAATGGGAGTGTGTGTTTGGATTGTTTTGCTGTGCTGTGTTGGTCGTCTTTATATGCAGATAGATGTTTTGCTGTGGTTTCTGCAGTTTCCTCACTAAAAATTGATACAACGATTCTCTTTGAGTACCAACTTTGCTCTTTCACAATATTTGTATTATTATTTTATGAATTGGTTGTTGGGTGTGTAGTTGGATACAGCGGGTGTTTTGAAACATTCGTTTGACACACTTAACAAACGGTGTGATGAACGGTGCATGTTTTGTGTGCGTGTCAACAGCCACAGTGGAGAGCGCATTGAATTCCCTTCTACCCTGACTGCACTGATAGATTTATATTTGAATGGGTCGAAGCAAACAGTCACACACACAGTCAAAACAAATGACTACTACCTCTAGTTCATCTTTCAAAATATCCCTTTACTCTGTCTTTGGAGAAGATTAACAAATCAAAGAGGAGTGGAAACAGAGATAACAAAAATCAATAAGCCACCCGGTCCTGATGTTTACCAAACTCTCTTAAGAGGACTCATTGATCGATGTGAATCGAAGCCGACTCGCAGCAATGGACCACAGTGGACTCAACGTTTATTTGTTAACACAATCCAACCACAGCAGTTATGACACATCTTAAGCAAATGTCTCTTTTTAAAAATGTTATATGAAAATGTTACAAAAGCTTTATAACTCAAACCTTTTAACGACTGCTTAATGTGCACAATATTTTTCCCTAAAAAGGAGCAGGGGCTAATGGGTGTATGTTTGAGCGGAAGTAATTTCCTCTTGTCTTTTTTTTATTGGGACTATAATGTTAAATACATTGGTCTCTGGTTCCCGTCCTCAGCTCTTTCTCCACTGTATTCTAAAGACTGATGAGAAACCTGCCAGTAGATTACTTTTTCCAACTCTTTGGCAGATCAAAATGTACTGTTTGATGTTTTTCTCAGCCCCACAGCTGCAGCTTTGGAAAAATGATGAAACACTCATGTCACTATGGTAATGCATTTCTTTTTGTATATCTTTCTGTTGGAAGACGAAAGACCCCATGGTGAAGATTACCCTGGATGACTACGCTGCGATCTTCAGCCTGACCCCAACTGGGATGATCCGCTACCTGAGGCTCATCAGACCTGTGGACCGGGAGAAGCAGATGGCCTATACCTTCACGGTAGGCCTCGGACTCAGGGGAAGCTATCTGCAAGACAGCACTAAAGCCCTTCGACCTACATCTCCTATTCTGTGTATATTAAAAGTCTCAGGTTAGCGCTATACTAAGAGGCACTTGGAGATACAAAGCTGACCTGACACTTTTAGAACAATATGACCTTTATCAGGAGTCAAATAGCAGTGAAGTTAAACAGTCTGTTCACTTGAATTTACAAAGTTCCATCAAAGGGTAAACCGAAGGCACATCAGAACGCGACAGTTTTATGCTTTCAGTTGGGAAAAAAAACAACAACTTTTATCTTATGTTTATCTTACGTAATTTAACTAATTTCTGTCGACAAAGCACAAGCAAATGAAGAACCCATCTTCGCCAGTTTGACAACGCAAAGAGAAAATCAACTGCAAATGAATCACATTCTCCAGCAAATACAGGCCATAAAGACATATGCTGCAATTACAGAAAACACAAACAAAGCAAGTTGTACAGAACATAACAAACAACAACAAAATGTCATTTAAAAACTGATCAATTCATTTTAATTAATTAATTTATAAAGCGTGTATTTGGTGGGAACTCTCTAATCCTTTGATATATGAGATGGTTCAATCTCACTGAACTCTGCAGCTAAACCTTCATGTTCCATTAGGATTCTGTAGTGGGTTACTTAATCGTTATAATGTTTTATTAATCTTCTTGCTGTGTGGTGTATTTAGTGTGTTAAGTTTATTTTTGACTGCTGTTACATTGACGTCAGCAGCCTGGTTTACCTAAGTGACTTAATTCTGCGCTGCTGCTTAGCACCTTGTGAAATACAGTAGGTCCCTACATCTAAGGGTGTTCTTCTGGTTCAGAGAGCATCAGCAAACCAACAGCGAGCTCTGTGGGAACGGTTCCCTGGAGTGTGCAGGAGTTTCTGAACAGGGAGGGTTCACTGTAAATTCAGATATTATGCCAAGTTTGGATTTGTTGGTTTGGACATAAGCATTTATGCAGGTATGATATGTTTCCCATGTGTGTGGAAAGTTGATGTGCCCAGGTTTGTGTATCTCTTTACAACCTCCATTCATGTTTATTATATAGTGTTTTTATCTCCTGTTTGGGGTATGAGGATCTCAAATGCTGGTTTTGTTTCCTTTAAGGTCAGGATACATTCTGACTACACAATACAGTGAGAGCTGACAGTGTGCCTCCGCTTTGCAGTTTTCAGAGGGCACCATGAACACAGCAACACGCTCCTGACTTATAAAGCAGTTTTTCCACCTTTTTACTCATTAAGCAGAGACAGTGACCAAAGCAGGAGTAGTGAACCATGCTTTAGCTACTGAGGCCTTGACCTGCTATGCCAACTGTTAGTAGTAATGCAGAGATGGTGTGAAGAGGAGTCGGTGCTAGAGCCCACTATAGCTGTGCCGCTGTCCTTCGTTGTTATGTTCTGGGTGCCTTTTTAAAAAAGATTTGAACTATTACGCACCTCACTACAAAGGCCTTGCAGATTATCTTATAAACAGGTGTGTTGGACCATAAACTGAATTTGATTAAAGATTCGTGAGTTTTAAAAACGTGCTGCATTCAAAGTAATTCCCAGTCAACTGTCCAACCATGGTGTTGTAACTGTATTTTATGTTCTTTTGCAAAGTCCAACAAATCCGCAATATATAATTCCAACTAAATTCAAGGCAGTCCTGGTGTCAAGTAATGTTTCTGTATTTTGGCACTAATGGCAGTTTTTCTGGAAAGTTTGATTATTATAATTATGATAATGTTCATCGTGATATTTTTGCTCACAATAATCGTGAAAATGTAATACTGGTACATACATAGTGTATATATAGAGTTCGATCCAGCTTGCACACGAGATTCATCGATCATATTTTTATAGAGCAAATGCTACACAAGCTAATAAGATGAACTAACTTGTTGTCTACTCAGCATGGGTTTTAGCTGAATTGTGGCATGGTATTTTGAGTTAATAATCTTAATTAGCTATATTATCAGATATGACATGTGAATACAATGCTTTCTGAGTTCTTGCTAAAAGCTTGTTTAATACAGTGATTATAAGATAACGGCATCGAGGCTTTGAAAGTTGTGCTTTGGCTTTCTGAATATGTTGTTATTTCAGAGATTGTCATTGAGGGAAATTTGGTATGAATGCTAGCATCAAATCAATTGTATAATTACTCTGCATATCCTGGACTGAAGGGAGAAAGAGCACACAGATCCAATTAAGATAAATATCAGCCTTCAAAGATTATTGTGTTTTGTGTCATATCTTACTGTTTGTGTGTGTGAGCGACAGGAAGAGAGGCATGAGAAGGCAGGCTTGCCATTTGACATTTGTTCTGTGTATGTGAGTGTTTGTGCAGGGACGTGTCAGCATGTGTATATGTATGGAGTGTCTATACATACAGTTGTGATCACTCAGAGAATCCAAATCTGTTTTCCCTCTTGGCTCCCAAAAAGTGTCTGGCGTCTCTCTCCTGGGGCTGGCTGGAGAACAGAGACACTGTTTGATGGGAGTGAAAGTAGCTGCTGTCGTGTATGATATCATGGGTGTCTGTACAACACCTTCACCGTGAATGTGTAGCTGCTACTGAAGGCACCCTGCTGATGTACAGCATAACCGGCAAGACGCGTAATTTCCAATTCAGCGTTAAGTGCAAATGTTTGTGGAAAAGCCATTTCCCCAACAGAAGCATGTATTTCTTGCCGCTGCCACAGTTGTTGTTCCTACACTTCATTTGTTGTTCAACTTAGTCCATTTTATTTCTCCCCGCCAAGTCCTTGAGATCAGAGCTGGCAAGGACAAATGTACATGCGGTCTGCTCAGTTTGCAAACTGTCCTTTAGGCAGGCTTTATACTGTAGAAGCTCTCTCTTCTCATCTCTTTAAAAGGCACTTCCAATCAAAGGGTATGAAAAATCAACATAGGCAAAGTGTAAGTGACTTAATGGCGCTGGTGCAGTAACAAGGTGCAGTTTGACTCATTGTCGTATCAAAGCAAAACAGTCTTGAAGGAATAAGCCTGAATAAAAGAATCAACTCTCTCTGATTTATTTCAACGGACGGACTTTGTTTACTTGTCTCCAGTTTCTAAAGCTACAATGTGTATTTATCTTTCTCGTGTTTACAGATGGTGGCAACAGACGGCGTCCAGCAGAGTATCCCAGTAACTGTCAACATCCTGGTCATTGATGCCAATGACAATACGCCCACATTTGCCGAGGTCTCCTACAGCGTTGAGGTCTTCACAAACATGCAGCCTGGGGAAACGGTACTACAGGTAATCAATCCAACAATCGTATTTCTTCTCTTGCTCTGCCATTTCTGCTTTACGCCTCCGCCTTTGTCCCAGTCCCGGCACAGAATCTCTCACACACACATTCTTTCATTCTTAAAGTAAATAACCACAACGATCCGAGGCCCAATTACAGTTCCCTTGGTCTCATCTGCAGTCATGACAGGCAAGTCAGAGAGAGTGTTTCTCTCCATCCACAGCGCACAGGCATGGGAAACCTTTTACCCTGCAGAACAGCTGCTGGCATGACTGAAGTGAATACATTGTGGTAGGCATCAAAGATGGCCATTAACAATCTTTCCCATTGCATTAAAATATTTTTTTTAAAAGCAGGATTTTGTATGTTTTGATCCATGTTATGTATTAGGAACATTGCTTGATTTCATTAGAACACCGGCTTTGAGGTCAGATCTTTCCTTTGCATGTACACACTCTAAAACCAAGTAAAGCAAGCTTTCATGCACATGCACAGGATGCGTGTAAGAATATGCGAAGGCACATCAACAAGTATATGCACACACAGGCGGCAAAATGTTAACCCATAAGCCCATTCTGCCATATCTATTAATGTGGAGCGCGACCATTTAATTTGCCTCTTCTTTAGTAGTTGGAGCATGATCTTTTCGTCCTTCAGTCGATCTGTCCTCTCGGCACAGCCACTACAAAAAAAATGTCAGAGCCTGAAAAGGTCAAGTTTGATCTGTCTTCAAAATCAGCCATTTCGTCCTCCCTGAAATGAGGCCAGGGGTCACAGAGTGTCTGGTATGAACGCTTAACCGATTTTTATAAGCAGTTTATGAGAGCTGCAGGCCCCCGGAGAATGCTGCTGCTTATTTGATGCTACAGCTTTTACTCCAATGTCAGGAGCATGAAAAAGGAGGTGGTCTGGGCAGCTTGGATTAAAGTTGCAAGGCCTTAAAGATAAGAAGCCAACTACACCAGAGTTCATAATTACAAGCAGCGGGATGCCCTAAATAATGGGCGTGAATGAAATTGCGGCTGCTTAATTCATTTCATAACAGACTGTGCAAGAAATTATATATATATTTATATTATGCTTTCTTCATCTTCAGCAGATGTATTTCCACATCTTTGTAATCCATCTCATATGAAAGGTAGCATGAAATTACTTCTATCCAATATAAACTCTAAACTGCAATCACAACAAGGGAGGATATTGCAACCCGCTGAAAGAAAAACGGTCAGATTGCAAGTCAGTAGTGTGTATACTTTCAGCTAAATGCCAACCAATTCTTGCTATCTTCACAAGAAACAAAGGTCATGTTTATATTAGTTGACAATAGGGCACCAAAATGGATTCTATTATTACCTGGCAACTTGACTAGAGTCAGTCACAACCCCCTACTGAGAAATATTTACCGCTTGACTGGTTCAGTAAGCATGTAGCTCTCAGCTGTGCAGAACTCCACCTGCAAAACTACAAAGTTTGGATAGAAGTAACAACATATTGTGATGTGTATCTCTGTCGTTCTCTCCATTCTTCCAGTTAACAGCAGCAGATGCTGATGAGGGACTGAATGGTCTGGTGACCTATGAGATACTGGCTGGTGCCCAGGGACATTTCATCATTACTAATCGCACTGGACGCATCACTGTGACGCCTGACGTCACTTTAACTGTGGGACGATCTTACGCACTCACTGTCAAGGCCTCTGACAATGCGCCAGAGACCCAGAGAAGGTATTTTACACTAGTTCTCTTCTGATGTGTGATGTCTTTGAAAACAAAACAAAAAAATTTGCCATCAATAGAATGAAGGTGTCTTCTTTCAGTGTGATGTGCAGTTCATTACTTTGTTTTGTATAAAAAAAGCAGATTTCTTCTAGTTCTTCAGAACTCACATCCTCAGGATTGCAGAGGAGCTCCCAGCATGTGTTGTTTACAAGTCGTATTTAATTCAATACGTGTTCATAGTACAGCACAAGATTCTGGGTGACATGGAAAGTTTTCTCTGCGGCTGAATTATAAAGAAATAACATTTCTGACAAGCTGTTGTGATTTTAACAACAGATGGTCTTGCTTCGTCCAACATTGATTCTGGTTCGGGGTGTTTCATACATTGTCTTGCTGTTTAGCTTGTGATTAAAAACAACAAAATAATTGAGCGCAAAAGCAAAAAAGACAAACTCAAAGTGTCAGACATTGTGGTTGAGGAATAGGTGGCCTCTTTCATTTCACCAAGAAAACAAAGTCTGGCAAAGACACATTTAAACTGGCCAGGATTTAAACAAGCTCCAGCAGGCTACAGGCGCAGTGTACTTCACAGAATGGTGACTGCACGTGTCAGATTATCTTCAATGAATGTACCTGCATAGCAGTTTGAACAAAATATGTCTTCCACAATGAATGAGTAAACAATGAACACAGTCAGTTCCATTTGCATGTGCACGACTGAGAACAAGCCGAACAAAAACCATCATAAATGCAAGGCCTGTTTTGTGTTTGATGTCCCACTTAAAATAAATGACACCAAAACCTGTTGAGTTTTCTTCTCTGTCCTGCAATCCAAATGATTTTTCACTAGGTTGTAAAGTGGGCTGATGTGTGCTTATCTTTCTCCCAGGAGCTCCATCACTACAGTGTACATTGAAGTTTTGCCTCCCAACAACCAGAGCCCCCCACGCTTCCCTCTGCCCGCCTACAACCTGGAAGTCAGCGAGGCCATGAGGATAGGAGCTATTCTGCTCAATCTGCAGGTGAGTCGCCAACCAACCCCCCCCACACACACACACACACACGCGCGCACGCACACACACCCACACAGGGCACATGCAGATAAGAAAGTGTGGAATTCAATGAGGCATTCATTATGATGCTACTGTTTAGTGACATATTGAATACATTAAGGTATATTGTAGTTTCAGGCAGCATTTCACATTTCACTCTCCAGCATACAATATGCTCACCTCTACTCCAGTCCAGCATCTTTGTTGCTCAGCTGTCATATCTCATAGCCTTCAACTTTAATGGGAATATTTTATCTTCAAGATCCTGCTTTCCCTTTCCTTCCCCAGGCCACAGACAGAGAAAACGACCCGATCACATATCGCGTTGTGAGTGGGGATTCCCAGAAGGTCTTCAACCTCTCTGAAACGTAAGTCCAGATATTTTTCAATATTTTTCATATTTTACAGACGAGCCCCCAGAAGGTATTCTCACCAAGGCCCACTTGAAATGGAGGGATGGTTGAGTATTTATATGGATGTCTGCGTATGTTTCCTCCAAGGTCTCTTGTTTCCTTTAAAATGATCAACAACATGCAGGTTACTGTAGGTGAACTGGAGACTGTGAATAGTTGTCTAGTAGTCATAGTTGCATGGAGAATGGATGGATTGCAAAATGTTTTGCTACATTCCTGGCAAGCTAGCATAACAAACTCCTGGCAAACTATTGTATGTATTATTATAGAAAGGTTCTGCAAGGGCACTCTTCAAACCCTGACATCAGTTTGAGAGTTTATTGAGGTTTTTGAGCAATAAGACAAAGCTGTTGTACGCAGTGTTTTTTTTATATCACACGGACAAGGACAAATCCGCTCAAATTCTTTGATAAGCTTTTGTGTCTCATGTTGTTCTCTCAGGTGCAAAGGCTATACATAGACAATCAGTAATGATATGTTGTAACACAACGTTGACTGTGTTGGCAATAAAAGAGGCCCTTGAAGCAGAAGAGGCAGGGTCTAACCATCATCATTAGCTTCCCTCTGATGATACAGACTGCCAGAGCGAGTGATGGTGGTGGGAATGAGAGTAGAAGGGATTTTGATAGTAGGGAGTAGATGCTGACTTGCCTATTATTGGTTTTGGCTGATTTATTAGCCAATACATGACTTTGTTTTATGAACACTGGCGCTGGCTGCTGGCACCATCAAGAATCCCAATGAACCAAGTTGAAAAGCAAATCACAAATTTGCCTCAAAGGGATTCACAATCTGTGTCGCAGGAAGAAAAAGGGGAAAAAAGCATCAGAAATAGAAAAAAGGAGGAGTCCCTCTCCCAGGACAGACAGACATGCAATGGAAAATGTAGACATAAACAATCACATATCGACAAACATAATAACATTAATAAAGTGCAGATATATGAAGAATACAAATCCAGGAATATTATAATTATAACAATAAAGCAACCAATCTCTTTTTTAATGCATTAATTAAGTGTTACATTTGCTACGTAAGTAAATGTATCTTAGATCAGAGGTCTGTTGTTGTACGATTGGTTACTATTTGCAAAACACTCATTTTGGCTCCATGGAATGATGAGGTGAAAACGCTAAGTTTCTTTCATGTATCATCTGAGTACCATTATTATGTATGTAAGCTGAAAGAACACAATGAGAGACATACATTTGTACTAAGCGAGGGTGATTAGGTCAGAGCTACTAGAAGCTGAAAGGCAAAGCTGACTTGTAACTCAGAAGAACTCCGTGGAAAAAAATCACACAGGATAAAACTTTATTTGATGGCAATTTCTATTCAGGTCTTCTTTCCTGTTTTTCTCCATTCTCAGTTCCATTCTCAGCCATCTGCTGTCTGGGAGAAGACGGGGCATGAAACACCAAATACATGAAAAGAAAGGAAATGTACCCCAGATATCTTACCTTACGTATCATAATCAAAATCAGTGTATGAAAAACCCACCCCACATTAGTCGGGAGTAAGATAAAGGCATACAATATTTAAGTGGTCTGTGCTTTTTACCATTAAATAACCAAGCTGATATGGAAGGAAGAGACTGAAAATGCAGGACCCTGCCAGACACGTTTCTCACTAATTGATTAAAGCCGCTTCTCTCTGCATCCTCAGTCTCCCAACTACGCAAGGACAAGCTGTGTTGCAGCAGTGAATCCCTGCCTGTTGTTTACTCTTAATCTGCTCCAGTGTTAAAATTGTTTGTCTTATGGAGGCATGTTTACTTTGTGGCTTCATAGTTTTAACGGCAAGCTGAAACTGTGATACGATCAAATAATGGGAGACTGTGATTACTGCCGTTAGTACTGTAATCTCTTCAACCAGAAACAACAGACATCTTGTTGAGTAGATAAACCTCCTTCAGTGCATTCTCAGAAATACTGAGAAAATACTACAACCCCATCACAAGCTCCGAGCAACCTAGCAATATGATATCGTCAGGCAGGTGCTTATTTCGCACATGATCAATCAAAGAATGATTAGCTTGTGTGCTTGATGAGTGTGCAGTTTACAGAGCCCTTCTTCACGCTCTCATTTTTCAACCCGTCAGAACTCCAATATGATTCAGTAAAGAGATTTTCACATTTGCTGCATGTTCAGATTCAGGCTACATATGGTGCTGGCTCAATCCAGCTATTATGAATAATGAGCTCTCAAGTCTATAACTTCCTATAAATGGGGCAGGTTCTCTCGAGGGAAGAGGCAGGACTGCTTCAGATGCAGGACTACTTCAGATTCACTCACTTACAGTAACTTTGAATATTATGGTCAGTGTCAGTTTGGAACAAAATAGATCCAGTATATACTCAAGTACTGGAAAAGTACCTCCTGATGACCCACTAAATATACATGTCAGCTGCATCAATATACAACCTGATTGTAGTGTTTCGCAGATATATTGGCATTGGCATATATGTTGGCTGATTAGTACGAAATGTAAATACATGAATGTGTTTGAAGTAATTTAGAAATACTGTTAGTATTATACTGTTAGTAAAATACTCAATTTTATAGATTGTCGAGAGAGAAGTGTAACATTCCAGTGTGAAAGTGTGCAGTGAAAATATGGCTAGACAAAGTAGCCAGGGCTATATTAGCTTAATGCAGATATATAATTATTAGTGTATATGTTTGCCAATAAGTAACAAGAACCGGCAGTATAGAAATGACAAACTAGGTTTGAGATAATTTAGAAACAGTGTCATCATTACATAAAGCACATAAAAAGTTTATTTTTACACTTAAAATATCTTTCTTTGTCACAATTCCTTGAATAAATCAATGAGGGATCTGTATCAAGGTTGATAATACTATGTTTTTATGTTTAGAAAAAATGCTATCGGCTGATTTTTTTTACACTTCAAAGTATAAACTTCAGTAACAGCCTGAAATATGCAGTGTCAGTTGGGCTATAATCAGCAGATCTTGCTGCTATTCTTTATTGTTCCTGAGAGCATCCCCTTTGAAGCCAAAACATTTTTTGTAGCACCTCAAAGTCACAAAAATCAAAGAGGCCACTCCAACTTTGATACTTGAGCCATTTTCAGTGCGCAGGTATCCAGTTGGCAGCTGATTTTCTTGCTTCACAGAGAAATTGAAACTGAAATTGAAAGAGTATAGAAGAAGGTACACCTTTTACAGCCCTGTGGAACCAAACACTGCGCACTCAGTTCTGATTAAATTGACTCAAAACAAGGGTTTTAAATCACACAATTAAAGTACAAATATACTGAATGTCACAGATTTGTCTTTGATTTCCCCTTGTGGAATAGTTGAGGTTTATCTTATCGTAAAGAAGTATTCCACTGCTGGAAAGATTGTCTCTTCATAAAACAAGGCTGTGTATGAAATAGAAAGGCACAAATTATTGTTTTATTTGGTGCTACATGACCCGAGAAAACAGAGAATAGTGGCTGTGGTATTCCCTTTTCAGAAAAAGGTAGAAAACCTGCATCATCCAGAATGCACTGGGCTTGTTGCTGCCACTGAGAAGACAAAGCATGATACTCTTTTCAGTAATTTAAACGTTACGCTTTTGCTACAAACTGCCAACTGTTTTAAGGTGACGTTAAAAAAAAAGAAGAAAGAAAACACAGTTGCTATTTTACTTACTCTATGCTCAGACGTCGGTTTTGTGGCACGGGCTTTGGTTGAGTTTTCCAATTCCTTTTCGGAATCCTGAAATATATCTTCAGCACTCCCCTGTCCATATGTGGCTCAAAGCTTGGATGTAACGTTACACTTGCTTGAGCCTTACTCCATAAAGTTGGATTCAACAACTTCATCCAACAGAAACGGGCCTCTGTGAAATTTGCTGGAATACAGCGACTCCACTTGTGTTTCCATCGGTGCACATTTATCCCAGCGGCACCACGAGTTGTCCCCCACATAGGGCGGCTCTGCACCCCGACCCTCACCGACTGGCAGTGCGAGATTCTTTGCTGTGGCGGCCTCTTCCTCCTCCATACGCCCCCGCACTGCACTTGGGCTCATATAGCCGAAGTAGCTCAGAATGTCTGAATCCAGTATTACAATATGGCAATCTTCATTATCAACTAAAACATTTGCCTTCTGCCATGGTGTTCCAGTGGATGTTGTGATATTGGAGGAGTGAGGGGGCGAGCATAAACAAAAAGTACAATCTGCAGTTCGAACAAACATCCCGTTCAGATTACGTGTCTGGTTAATGAGCGGGGGGGGGGGGTTATTGGGTGCTGGCAACATGGAGGGAAGTTTGGCACTGTTCATTTGCATATACCTCCCACATTATAATGATAGAAAGCTGTTTGAAAATTGGCAAAGTATCCCTTTAATCTGTATCTGAGGTCATGCCACCTGGTACTACCATCCTGTACATCAAGTCCAATATCAAGTTGAATTTGCCATTTAGGGATCCAAGCAGAATGAAAGACTGACTTGGTGTGACTCGGATGGATGGCCTCTAACCTGCACCATTGTCGCTCTAACAGTGCTGTTAACAGCACACTGTCAGTCTGACAACATCTTTTCATTTGCAGTGGCTGGGGAGAAGAGGCAGGACGCTATCACACATGATCAGTGAACCTCTCAGACCCAGCCGCTCAAGTGTAGTTCAGCACTGCAGCTGTAGTAAGGAGCAAACTCCCCAAGCTGACTAAGTGACATTAATCATTCCAATCTTTGTTATCATCAGCACCGAGATCATCATCATTCTCTCCGTAATTAGGATAGTTATCACTGTATATCTTCATTATTACATTCACATCACAGCTCCCGATACCTTTAGCTTCATTGAGCACACAGTGGACTATTTTCTACCGGCATGCTTATGTATAAATAAACATGAGCACAGCAGCCAGTTAAGGATGGTCTGCTGCATATTTATGGTGTTTTTAGAAAGCCGCATTTGCCCTCTTGAACCACCGATCATCAGATGTATTAGATAAAAATCAATGTGTTCACCTTAACTTGGGGCAAGTGTTTTGAAAGAAATAGACAATGTTGATCGAGGTTTCTGTTATTTGCCTTTCGGATTTTTAAGATGAGGCTCTACAGTTTGATGGTTATGAGCCAGAGAGGCAGGAAGGAGGCAGCGGTCAGGTTCTGCTTGGACTGTTTGGCCAAAGAAATTAGAACTGTGAAGGTGCATGGGGACAGCAGGGAATTGCAACAGGCATTAATCTAGCAGTGCGTTTCGATGCATTCGTCTTTCCTTCCATTTGTGGTTCTGGCAGAGCCTCTCCAGAGTGTGGTGGGGAAATTGTTTTGTTCATGCTGTGTTTGTGTGTGTTTGTGTGTGTGTGTGTGTGTGTTTATTTATATGTGTTAATGCTCTTGCACTCACGTGTCTCGTGTGCCTGTGTGTGCAAACAACGATAATTCAGCGTTCTGCTTGGGAATGCATCCACACTTTGTGTTTGGCGTGTGCCAAATTATACCTTGTGAACGAGCAGGAGGGTCGCTGTGCCTGCTGCAGTCATTGGAAAGGAAACATGAATCTTTCAGTCTGTAGTCCATGTGCTTTGGGAGCAAGAGGCAGGCTACAGAGAGAGAAAGACAGAGTGGGAGCATTTAAAAGCCCACGTGCTCTAAGCCAGAAACGTATCCTTCTCTTTCAGCGACCGTGTTTTTTTAAATCTGTCTAATCTGGAAATAAATAACCTCTGAAGTGCAGCCCTCTCGATCACTCTCTGTTGGATCAGCGATAAAGAATTAAAAACGTTTGTACAAATCTCTTTAAGTGAATGCTCTTTCTTCATAAGACACAAACAAGTAATGCAGGACCATGTCTACACAGAGCCCTATATTGTGTTTCTTTTTGTAAGGTTGTTGTATTAATGTCTCTAGTTGTCAGTGTGTAATAATAATACAAGTGTCTTCTCTGACCCCCCTCTACAGGATTGGCCTCCTGCTTCTGAGAGAGTCTCTGGACAGAGAGACCACAGATCAGTACCGTCTGATTGCCACAGCCTCCGATGGGAACCCTGGAGGGGTGAGGCACAATCCTCTTTATTAAACTATTAGCCTGAATCCTCGGGGTCTGTGGTCGTCAAACATTTTGAAAACATGAAACTCAAATAAGATCTTCACATACAAGCTTATTAGTTCAGAAATTGTGGCTTAACGAACCCGAGTGCTTCATTGGTATGGAAAATGTAGTAGTGCGTTTGAACTCGCATACTTTAATACCCTGTGATTTTGTCACAGATTCCTAAAAACTGTGGACGCATTAAGAGTCAGGTGTCTTTGTGCCAAACCAATACGACACCAGAATAATAAGGGCTGCCTGTTCATTTAAGTCAGTGCACAGAAATCATAACTTTGTGATTTGGTAATCTGTTGAGTTGTGGAATTGCGTCATTGATTGATAAAAGCCTCTGCTGAATATAACCACCCTGCAATAATTTGAATGTTATTCACTGTTAAAGACAAAGTTATAACTACCTGAGCTTGCAAAGTATTTTGTACATTCAAAAGTTTGTCCGTTCTTACGTCTACTGTTAAAAGTTGACTAAAGTATATTTTGTTGGCATGTTTTTTAACTACAGTTAGTTTGAGCTATCAAAGCAGTTTGGCTCCACAGATGTTGAACAGTTGTTTTGAACAGCCAAAGTATTGAAACATTGATATAATTTAAATAATTTGTTGAGTTTTTTTAAGATCAGATACTAATTCTTTAGGCAGAGTGGGTATATAGTGTTCCCTGAAATAGTTCAAGAATAGGAGCAAGAGCAAGATCAATGCATGGATAGATGCAAAGTAGTGGACAAGCAGCACTAGTGTTAAGCCAATCTTAAAGTCTTTAAGGAGTACAATGATTTCCTTTATATATAGCAAATAATTTTACCTGAGTAGTACTAACCATAACTAGTTAGGTAAATAAGTTTTCCTTTATTAACTGCTGCCCATACGATGTCATCACGAGTGACTTTTGAGTGTTTACATTCACAGACCTGTCTCTGTAACGTAGTCTAAGGAAACAGCAGACACTACAACTGAGAGTGAATGCAATGCTCGCTGCTCCTTCTCCCACCGAGAGCAGATAATCATATAAACACTCTTAATTTAATTAGACTTCACCTCAGTTGGCTGAGTTTTCACAGCTGTCTGTCTTCCAGGCAGAGGTGAAACGTGGTTTCCTTTTCAAGATGCAGTGTGATAGGTAATAAACATTAGCTGATGAGCTGTTACAGGAGTGATGTTGATTGCCCCCTGTGCACGCACAAACACTCAGAACTGCAGCTCATTCTCATCTGCTGGCAGACTACGTCTGTCAGTCAAATGGAGCTATATAAGAAGTATTATATGCGCCGCTGTGTCACAGTTTTTGTAAGATTCCCAGAACTGTAGGAGTGCAAATTGAGACAGTTAGAGTGTGTGGGGCAGAGGAGATGGACAGCGACGGGGCAGAGAGAAAAGAGCATCACCTCACAGAATGAGGGAACCACTGATTGTACAAGCAACGCCCGCTGCCTGTATGGTGTACGTCTGTGTGCGAAACGTCTCGTCCACAGAGTAAATTACTGGCAGACTTGTGTGGGCTTAACGTCACAGCTAGGCAGAAATGCTGTCACAACAGGAAGGAAGTGGAGTGACTGAGATGGGTAAAACGTTGTGGGAGGTTTAGAGGTGAGGGACTCATTCAGCAAGACAAAGTGCTGCAAGCAAGGCTGGAGACAGGGAAACAATCAAAATATGCACAGGAGTAGGGCACCGAAAGGAGAGACCGACCGAGTAAAGGAGGGGGGACACCAGGGATTTGCATGTGCAGCTGTCGATTATTATTAGTTATTAGTATTCTAACAATTATTCCATTGATTATTTGAGTAATCGTTTGATAAGACTTTTGCTTCATCAAGGAGCAATAGTAAATACATGAAAGAGAAAATAAAACAGAACTACTAACCAACGTGGGCAATAATATTATCTGTCAAATGTAAACCCACTTAGTGCATTTAAGTGCCTTATTACATTAAGGTTTCAATTTTCCCCTCGTGAAGTCAATCTAAAGTCAATCTAAACTTTAAGAACAAAAAATTGTTGACAAACTTTTTGTCATTTGTTGAATTTTAACTCTTACATCAACTAGTACATAGAAGAATTTGTGCTAATCTGCATGGCCAATTCAAAATTTGTATTCTCAACAGTTACCATCAAGGAGACTCCGATCCCAAAAGGGAGGACAGATGAAGCTGTTTCTCTTGCCCTCAAAGAAGGGATTACATAACAGCCCGATCATATCAGTCCCTGCAACATGGCTTCTGGTCCAGAGTTGTCACTTGAAAGGCAAAAGCACCATCAGCCACCTCTAGATCTTTCAGACAGTGAGGACAGAAGATGAGACATCACAGAGCTCCATCTAATTTATGTTAAATAAATAATAGCAGCTCATTAATCACACTCCTGGTCGTAGAGGTAGGCTTTTTTGGCTTTGATAACAACACCCACGCCAGGATGGAGACGCTAATTGGCTTCGGGTCCTCTGTGAAATTGAAAATAAGTAGATCCAATCACCATACTGATGGCGAGCTGCGTCCTCTTGTATCCTGGTAGTGAAAGAGAGGCATGAAGTGTGATGGTTTTCAGCTTGGGTTGCCATGTCAAGTGGTTCGTGAAAGGAATGATTATGTACGTCTCAGAAGCTAGAACAATGAACACAACAATGGTGGAGGAATTCCGTACAGACAGTGTGATGAAGGTGACATTAACTAGGTCATTTCATTTGTGATATTGCAGCTTAGTGTCTCAACTGCAAGGGTAACTTCAAATGGCTGTCTTATGGGAACTATTTGCTCTTGCACAAGGCCATCCTTCCTCCCCTAATGGAGACCATTTATGCCATTGTTTGCATGCAGCTTCTTCTCAGTGCACTGAGCGTTTATAGATTACACAGATTCAGCCATTTCTCTATGTTGATTTATAGGAGTGCAATAGGTGTGTCATTGTTTGAAGGTTACCAGCAGATGCCGGGGGGGGGAATTTGCTTTGCCCAATGAGCTTTGAGATCAAACAAACCCAGCACATTTTACATGACAAACACAAGCATGATTTAATTCACCGTAAACATGATTAAAATATAGTCTATGACATCCTCCAATGCCATAAAAAAAGTGCCAGTGTTGATGTAAATTTGTTGAGTATTCTGCGTCCTCCAGAGGAAGGAAGATGTGATGGATCTAATCTGATGTTTCTATGCCCCAGATACTGGCTCCCCCAATCTTACAACCTTTTACAGTTTGCTCTTAATAACTACCACCAAAGCATCTGCCAAGGGAATGTAGAAGGTCAATACACCCAGGATTAGTACGCCATATTTCTCTGCAAACAAAGCATTAGTGTCGATGTTCAAATTTCACTCCATATTACTGATAGTATGTAAGTTGTATTGATGGTTGTGTTATTCACTTTTACAGGGGTTGTGATAGTGTCAATGTTGATGTCAGTAATTTGACATTCATTTATATTCTATGTGTCAACAAGATGAAGAGCCTCTTTGCAGCTCTGTGAGTGTGTACTGGATGGGAGAAGCATTGTGCAAATTAAAGATTTTGAGAAGATACTCCTGTGAATGAAAAGTCAGAGGATGACCAAAGTTGTTTGATTCATCCTCTTGAACTTTGATTGTCTGCGCAAAATGTCATGGCAATCCATCCAAAAATTGTCAAGATTGTATAGTGATGGCTGACAAACTCATTGGCAGAAAGTGCCAACAGCAGGAATGACCATGTCCCTATTGATAGCCTAGTTGTCGCTAGTGTTTGTACTGTTATAGTATACATTTGCTGTTACAACATATAGTTGATTTAGTCATTGCTTTTGCCTGTGGACTTCATGCGGAAAAGTGACAGCTGATGGGGATCTGAGTAAAATATCACAAAAACCAGCACCTAGTAAATCTGCCTGTACAGTAGATGAAATAAACAGTATACACCATATTTAAAAGCAATGCTACACAATGGAACACTGAATAACATTGGTCTTTATTGTGCTCTTTGTTCATTTATTTTCTCTTTAGACATCCACTACTACTGTGAACATAGTCGTCACTGATGTCAACGATAATGACCCTGAGTTTGACCTCACCATACCCACAAATTTTACTGTCCAAGAAGAAAAGGCCAATTTGTTTGTCGGACAAGTCACGGTAAGTTTGATGTCTTGTTGTTCTTTTGAAACAAATAAAAAGCTTCTGTCTCACCAACATCCACATTAGATACAACATGGCCTGTTCACTGTTGTATGTCCACATGTGGTTTCTCATAAATTGTACTGACTCACAACCGTGCCTCCTTTCTCGTCGTCGTTGTTGTTGTTGTCCATTAAAAAATTACCTGACATTTTCCAACATGGCCAATTTTGTTGGACAGATTTATCACCCGGAGCTGCATCTCTGTTGAATGGCTTAGTTCAGCACCAGTGAGCTGCCAGACTTTTGTAATTACTGTTGTAGATTAATTGGCCTGATGTTTGTCAGTGAATTACTCGTGAAAAAATGACAGAAGACATCCTCTGCACATACAGTACAGGCTTACAACGTGGCTGACAAGGCGATACAATCCAGGGGTTTTGTTTTTTTATGGCATCTGTTTTTCTTCTCTGTCAAACATAATAGCGACCCCAAATCCCCAAGTCACTGGTTTGAAACATAGTTTTAAAGCTCAATACAGCTCAGAGTAAAGTTTCAAAACAGTTGACCAAGCGACATTTTGGGGGATTTGCTGGAGGGTTTGGGCGATATTACAAAATCAGTCCGCACCTTTTATATGTTGTTAAAGAGTTAGTTCTGAGTTTGGAAGTTGTCTCAGCAACTGTTCTTTGATGCAGGTTCACAATATCAGAAACATTGAATAATTATTGTCCACAGTGAGATAATTAATAAATTAGTTTAATAAAAATGGAATGTAATTAGTTTGATAATGTGCAGTAAAATGTGTTATTATCAATGCATTTTGGACACACAGCGCTATCTGTATCTCTGTATCTCCAAAATATCTTCATCTACATTGTAATAGATACAAAGTGTATTAAACTTCTAGCCTTCGAAGTATGCATGTGATCACTTCACAAACTCACATTTTGATGAGACTTGTACGCTCTTTCAATTCCTTGTCATGTCCTTGTAATTGCTTCTGCAAACAATACGTTTGCCACGGGTAAACAGGCACCCTCATATGAGTAACATTTGTTGCCTTTCAGGATATATACTTTTAACATTAGGCATCCCATTACATTTTTCAGGAGGTAATGAAATAGACCACGAGAAAAGCAAGTTTATGAACTGTGAAATCAGACAAAAGGACATGTGAAGGAAGCTTTGTGTCTGAATGAGGTAAAGCTCCCAAGTATTTTCCTCACAAATGCAGCCAGCAGCTAGATTAGAGTTTAGCCTGCCCCACTGTCTCTCTCTCTCTCTCTCTCTCTCTCAATCTCTCTCTATCTCTCTCTCTATCTCTCTCTCACTCTCTCTCTCTCTCTCTCTCTCTCTCAATCTCTCTCTATCACTCTCTCTATCTCTCTCACTCTCTCTCTCTCTCTCAATGTCTCTCAAGCTCTCTCTCTCTCTCAATCTCTCTCTCTCACTTTCTCTCTCTCTTTCAATCTATCTCACTCTCTCTCTCTCTCTGTCTCGTTCTCTCTCTCTCTCTCAATCCCTCTTTCTCTCTCTCTCTCTCTCTCTCAACCTATCCTGCTTTGGAAGGTTTTGCCGCCTTGAGCTGAGACTGCTTTTCTGAATGAAAGAAAAGTACATTAAAGTACTTAGCACAACACAATCCTGCTTTCTATGCACATAGAGAGGCTACAATGTTGCCGGTTGTAGATGATCAAGAAAGGATGATTTTTTTTTTTAGTTGATGCAACATTTTTTCATAAAATCTCAAGTAAAACAAAGGTCACATATTGTAGACAAACATTAGTGAATATATTGATCCACCAATAGATTAGATAATACCATGAGTTGGACATGTCGTTTATACCTTTTTGTCATGAGACATTCTGCTGATGGTTGACTGTGGACACCCTTCCTTTGTCTGAATTGTTATGCTGCATTTAGGCAAAATCTTGCAATACCGTAAGATTCAGCCTTAGTGCCATTAAATTACAACCTACTACTGTTGCCTTTCTCTGTTAAATCCTTCTTCCGGGTTTGTCCCCTTCGCTAAATCCTTTCATGGTGGAGAGACATTTTCCAAATTGTTCATGGCAAGAGCACATATTTTAAAAGTTCATGCTCATAACACAGTATTTGAGGAGATTATGCCCGTCAGGATGAGGTTTCAAAACAAGATAGCACTTGTGCTGTAACATACATAACACCATTTTGAAGTGTTTTTGTAATAGGTTGGGAAGTGTTAGTGTATGTGTGTACAGTATATGTAGTTGCAGGCAAGGTGCAAGGTAATTTAAATCTAAACGAAGGCTCTTGGTTTAATGAATTACCCCATTTCAGCAGTAAAGACATGTGGCCTTAAGATTCAAATTGCCAATAACTCTGTATAATGTATATGAAAATTCAAATTTTTTAAGTCTCATTGAGCCTCATTAAGTCACCCACAATAAAGTGCACTTAAAATATTTCTGAGCCGAGCCAGATGCAGTTAAAGTTTGTGTTACCGGGGTGCGTTCGTAATTCGTCACTCCGAGTGCTGGAGCACACTCTGGCACAAACTGGACTGTTTGCTGCAGGTCAATCATTACATTTATTTGTAAACTATTTTCACTAAAAAGAACTTCAAGCACCATGTCAAGTAGACTGAACCCGATCCGAACATCATTTGTAAACAATTGTCTGGGTCGGGTATCCACACTCTAATCTGCAAGCTGCACAGGTAGTCACGAGGGATAAAATATAGAAAGATAGTCTTCTTAATTTAGCTCGCTCTACAATCTAAGATTGCACACAGAAAGACAACAAGTTGTTGAATTTCAGATCTGTCTAGTTTCTACACTGGATGACACACACACTGTGATGTGCCATAGACAAAATGGGAAAAGCTAAAATGAGTAGAGCCCGATTGTCACTTAAAGCACACCACTTTAGTATTTTGCCGTTTCATCATCCGGCCAGTTAGGCTTACAATGCTGTAACTGCTAGCTTTCCAAGTGTCTGAATAACATTGTGTGATGTGGAGGTTTGTCAGCATTTCTTCCTATCAGCACGGTAGCCGACTTACTTTCATACGACGTGCTAGGTAAAAGTCAAGTGGCTGATGAGATGCCGACTGCTTGAATTAAGATGCTATTTGTGTCTTTTCAGTTATTTCACATGTAAATGTGATGTGTTACTGTGAAATCAGTTCACCTTTTCCTGTAACACCTTGAATTTCCCTCCAGAGAGGGAATAATAATGCAGTCAACCACGAAGCTTCAGGCAATTGCCAACGGTGAAGATGACTGCAGTGCAAATGCATAATGTTATTAAGTAGCTTAATGCTAAACCTAAAGCGTTGGGGATTACCGTTACAGTAATTGGAAATGGCTCCCACCTGTTCTTACTTTACACACACTCACACTGGAGACGATTAACTAGGTTATCAAAATTGACAGCGATGCTGGTTGTGCTAATAGAGTAATTTGTTCTGTGACTGACAAATCCTAAACCGTACGAGCTCATTCTGTTTGCTCACAGCGGGGAGCCGTAATCTGAGCATGCAGATGACCGGAGGAAAAATTGATTAGCATTCGTGTCAGACACATCATGGCAGCATCATGTAGAATTGTTGCTAATTGAAAATAATGCCATTTATTTATTTTACAAGCAGATTCCCCGATCAAATGAGTTTTTGCAAGCATTTGACTTGGTTAAGGCACATACACTTATCACAACCTTTGGTTTTGTGAGGCTGACAGCTTAATTCTATGTTTCGAAAATACTGTGCATGTGGGCTTGTTTTATTTTTTTTAAGACTGCAGCCACCTGTTCAAGCTGCTTCTTGTGCTGCAATCACAAGGATATTCCTCCACTTCCACAATAGATGTAAGAGCTCTCCCATCAGCTCACAATCCAAAGTACCAGTTACTGATCACTGAAGGCCTTCGGATTGAAAAACTATGAAAAACATTCCCACACACGCTGTCACAGTGTGAGGAAGACGGTGAGCGATGATTTAGAGCAAAATAGTCAGAAAATACCCAAATAATATTTTGATAATAATTTGGGCAAACAAACAAAGGCTTTACAGTCTCCACCAAGGCCAACAACATGACCACCCATGTTTGTTATGTCTTCCAACATCTGCTGCAGGTGGTGTAGGACCTGGCCTGCCCTGCACAGACCTCTATAATACATACAGTATATTGTCCTTTGGAGGCTATGGAAATATGAAGATTTGTTTATTGATGTTAGTGCCTGTGAATTAATTGGATTACACCCCTTACAAGGCAAGGAGCAGTGTGAATGTTTGTTATATAATCACTTTAGAGAAGTAGTGATCCGTGTGCACATATTGACACAATGTGCTTTGGTCTGTTTTGCAAAGGCTTAATGCCGAGGTTCAGTTTTTAGCTCGGCTTTGAATCTTCGTCAGGCATTCCATGCACAACAAATTGGGGTTAGCTTTTAGCACCCATATGCGTATCCTCCTCCCTCCTCCGCTGTTCCTCTTTTTTCCCTCTTTGTGCTGCCTTGTCCTTACTTGCACTGATGTTGATAAAACATTGCCAGACAGACAGATGAAATGTGACTTCATCTCACTGTCTTTTTTTCCCTCCCCCTTCCCCTCTCTGTCACTCTCCTCTGTCTCTATTTAATTATAACAAAGAATTACCACCACACAGGGGACAGTTGGATAATGAACACACACACACATAAACATAAACACAAGGCATAATGATTGCCTGTCATATCCACACAGAAATGAATATTTGTGAAGCAGATAACTTATTTTAGCCTTTCCTAAATATATTTTATAAATAATTTTCTGACCATTTATTTTATTAGGTTTTTATTTTACTCTTTTTATTCAAAGTATAACATGTATACTACAAAAGGGTGATTGGGGAATGCAGAGTTTGCATGAAAAAGGGGTTCTGGCCCTTTTGAAATCACTATTACTAATGAATCTGTGACTTAAACTCTAATCTCAATATGAAGAACAGGAAATGGGAGCAAACGTATGGCAGTTGTTTGAGCTCGGTTGCAGAACTCAGTTTACATGGCTTTGTGCTTGGACCCTCTGTAAATACGTAAGGCGTTAAGATGAAGCCAGGCCTTAATGGATCATGTAATGGATCGCATCACACGCACACTGGCTATTTGCTTAAATAGATTTGCATTTCAGTTTTAAAATGTGTTTTTCCTATGGGAATAACACAATGCTATTATTGATGTATGTAAATGGATTCTTAGTGTTTTCCGCAGGTTGTCAGTTTATTTCAGCAGCGTCAGGAGGTAAAACGGAGTTTATCGATGATGTTTTATTGACCTTTCATTCAGCAAGCCCACTAACTCACATTTCTTCCAACATATGCAGTCTCTAAGTCCACTGTAAAATAATGGCCATTGCAACATTAGCCGACTATTATGCTTCCATCTGATTACTCAGGCTATATTTTAGGCCGTGTCTTGGTTCAGTTTGCGTTGGCACAGACCAATGAATTACAATCTTTGTAGTTCACTTACTTGCTTTGGGAGCTTGGCAGAATTAAATGGTAATTGGTTGAAAAATCTATCAGCAAAAACCGCAGAATGTCACCCATCAGATCCCCGAAGCGAAGTTAAACACACTTGCCCCAGATATTACTTTTGAAGGGGAAACGTTTCTTTCCACAGGCCTACACTGAGTTCACAAAAATAACTATATTTATATCATTAAATCTTTTTTCTTTCACCCCAGGCCACAGATCCAGATGCAGGGGTTAATGGACAGGTGCTCTACCGGATCGTGAATCAACCAGACTTGTTTATAATTGGTGCTAACGGTAGCATCTACACAAGAGTGCCTCTTGACCGGGAGCTTAGGAGCCAATATGACCTGGTGGTAGAGGCCTCAGATGGGGCAGTGGATCCACGGCGGACCACCTTGACCGTCTCAGTCCAGATCACGGATATCGATGACAACAGCCCAGTCTTCTCCCAGCAAACTTATGCGGTTAACGTACCTGAGAACAGCCCAGTGGGAACTCTGGTCCTAAAGCTAAGCGTACGTATTGATGTGCATGTGTTTATTGCCAACGTTTTTTCTCTCTCTCTTTCCTTAAATGTCGTCTGTCTCTCCATTTATGTAAAGTAGCATAAGTGCTTTAAACAACAGATGTGGTAACTGGCTTTTAGCATCTTTCAAGTGTTTAAATGTCAAACGTTTTCAGGTAGAAACATTAACAGTGACAGAAACATACAGTAGAACGCCTTACATACACAGAGAGAAACTATTTTTTTCTCATAAGAGTTAAAGCTAGATTTTTCAAGTCATAACCAGCCTTTGCCATCTGTCCTTGAATATAATGAATATAATAAATTAATATAACACATGAATATAATACTACACACATTTTGAAATAAATGTTTCAACTTGCTCACGCGTTTGCACTGCAGTGAAGTGTAAGGAAACCATGTGCATGCAGAGCAAACACAGAGCGGAGTTGCGAGTAATTGCTGGCATATTGTGAGTGACATTTTGTCGGAGAGGGATAAAGCAGGAGGAGAGGGTAAGTTAGCAGGGGTGAGGGTTGAGGGGCGAGGGGTGTGAATGATAGTGGCACTGTGACACCATTAATCCCCGAGACAACGTCACCTCAACTCTAAACGGACGGGGGTGGCTGGCAAGATGCCTAAACAGCAAAAGTGAGATGGATATAAAAAGAAAGTGGATGAGTTCGGTAGCTTGAAACCTAATGCTTATACCTGAGATTATTCTATCCTTTTGTTGTGTGTCAATAAATAAAGTTTGTGCGTGTGGGCGTATCCAAACAACATGTGTTCCAGCATCCATATACTGCATCTTACCATTTTCTATTACAGTAGCCTTTGCATTTGATATCTACGTAGAGGTGTGATTTTATGCAGAGGACCAACTTAAGCTCCCCTTACTGGTTTAATTTAATCAGAACGTATTAATGATTGATGTAAGAATTAAAATAGAAACATGAATATTCATTTCCACAGCCACAGTGCTTATATATAATATATAATATATACATGTTGAAATTTAGAAAATAAATGTCCTCTCTCTCTTTCCATCACCCCACTTTTTCTCCACATACGTATGTACTGTAACTTGTTTTCTCACTCATCCTTCTCTTGCTTCTCACAGGCGGTTGACTCAGACCTCTTTTCCAATGTCACGTATCGGATCAAGACTGAGTCGGCCAGGCAGCTGTTTTCTCTAAACCCTGTCACTGGGGAGTTAGCTGTGCTGCAGACCCTGGACTTCGAGGACCTGGCTGGTATGGGCATGGGGGCCTCTTTCACTTTCCAGGTGGAAGCTGTCGACCAACGAGGGGTCATGCCCCCAGGGCAGACCACCGTCACAGTCCGCATCACGGTAAGAGCCCCCGCATGGTCAGTCCACCACAACCTCTCGGAGATCTATTCTCCTTCCATCCATCCTCATTGTCCCTGAGGCGCAGCAGCAGCACTGGCAGTGAATATGTGGTGACTCATTAGCAGAGTTTTACAGTAATAGTATCTCGTCTAAGCCATAGTTCGAAAGGGGATTTGAGACATATTGTACAGAGCTGCACCTGTGCTCCTTTTGTAATATTAAATTCAGTTTTACTCCATTCAGTGCGAAAGCTGAATGCATTTCCTTTGTAAAACATATTTTGGCCTCCCAACCTGCTTGTCCTGGTATCATCACCAGGACAAAGAGAATTTGATGGATAGGTGTTTCAGCCTCGCACACAGTGCTATTCCGAGCTGAATGACTCATTAGCTTTGTGACAGCAATTATGTCAGCTTTTTCAGGAGCTTGTATTCCCTTTACAACCTTTCAAGAGATTAACGGCTGAATCCCAACGAAAGGATTAGACGCCTTATGTTGTGCTACTATTCATGTGTGTACGCGTATGCATTTGTGTGTGTTAATGGGTGTGTGTTTTTGCTCTGTGGGTAATTCTGCGCTTCAAAATGTGTGCATTCACATTCATCTGCGTGTGAATTCAGTCATCTCAAAGTCTGCTGAATTACGCTTTATATTACATTACATTATAATCATTTAGCAGACGCTTTTATCCAAAGCGACTTACAATAAGTGTATTCAACATAGGTATTCAAGAGAACTACTCGTCACCAGAAGTCATAAGTACATCTTCTTTTTTAAACAAGCATCTAAGAGCATAAACCACAGCAAAAGTACAGTGCAGAAACAAAGTAATACAATAAGTGCAACAAACTAGTATGAATACAATAAGTGCTAAGTGGAAGGCTCGGTGTAGTACTTCTTGAAGAGGTGAGTTTTCAGCCTGTGCCGAATGATGGGCAGCGACTCTGCTGTCCTGATGTCAGTGGGGAGTTCATTCCACCACTGAGGGGCCAGGATAGAAAAAAAGCCGTGACCGGGTCAATCAGCCGCAGGGACCTCTGAGCGACGGGGCAACCAGTCGCCCCGAGGCAGCAGAGCAAAGTGGTCGGGCGGGGGTGTAGGGCTTGACCATGGCCTGGAGATAGGAAGGAGCTGTTCCTTTCACTGCCCTGTAGGCTAGCACCAGTCTTAAACTGGATGTGAGCTGTTACAGGGAGCCAGTGTAGAGAACGGAGAAGGGAAGGTGTGTGGGAGAACTTGGGGAGATTGAACACCAGGCGAGCTGCAGCTTTCTGGACAAGCTCCAGAGGTCCAGAGTTCAATATTACACTGAATGGGAAGCATCTATAAGCTTATTTAGGCAGGCTCGCTACATGAACTGCCAACCTGTAGAGTGAGTTTGTCCTCTGATAAGGACAAGCTTTGTTGCAGTGTTTGTTCTGTCACCCAGGTTCTGTGTTTGATAGGATAAGGCATTGCAGCCACTGATATCAAATCCATGTCTGCTATTTGAAAATGGTAGGCATGAATCCGAATGAGCCTAATGGATTCACACAGGCTTCTCAGGGACTAGAGTTGGAGCTGATTCAACTGATTCCATTTCCTTCCTCATATAACACCTCCAGAGGGTTATTTGATGTCGTTTGTGTTTGATTTCCCCTTGTATTGTTTTGTTGTTGTCTCTTTGGTCGGATGCCTTGCAGTGATGGATTGAGTGTCCTGTCTGTCTCTTTCTTCCGAATGATTCTCCCAAACTTTTTCTTCTATTCTTGTACTTTAGAAATGGAAAAAAGACACTTTGTGCTTGTAGGTGTGTGTGTGTGTGTGTGTGTGTGTGTGTGTGTGTGTGTGTGTGTGCGTGTGTGTGTGTGCGTGCATGGATGGAGATACTGCATGTCTCAAGCAAACACGACTGTGTCTTCGCTTGCATCCTGTGAACACTTGCAGCACGATGATCAAGCTTTGTTGTTCAAAGTAAGAGCTGGATCATAGATTTTCTGCTAGGAAACACTAAACCTGTGTATAGATCATAGTGAGGCTGTCCTCCACCACTGAGTTTATATTTTGAGGCCCATGGCTCATTCAAAACAGTGCACGGTAAAGAGAAAAGTCAAGAGAAAGGAAGATCATGCTCCAGCAGTTTTACCACAGAACTAATCTATTCCTGAGAGATATGACGATGGCTTACTTCCTTCTCACAAAGCAAAGCAAAGCAAAGGGTGGCACAGTTAACAAGATCCCATTGCTTTGCTGGCCGATAAAATGGTAGACTTCTGCTGTGCATTATTTACATGGAAAAGGTGATTAAAAGTGGTGGTAACAGAGACCTTCGGTGGCCTTCTGGTTATCTTGAAATATGAAAGGGTCTTCCTAGGGCCAATGTTTGGTTTGTCCATTCTGGGCTGCTGTAGAAAAATGGTGGTGCAACGCTGCAGACTCCGTAAAGAAGACCAGCTCTCTATGTAGATATAAAGGGTTCATTCTAAGGTAACAGAAACACAAAGATTGTTAGTTTCAGCTGAGTGAAAACATAGTTATGAATACTATATTCCATTTCTGCTGACCGATACATTAATTAACACAGGCCTTGTTAAAAATTGGTTGAATTTGCATCTACGTTTTAGTTTTAATCAGCCAGCTACAATATATTGTGATTTTCTTAATTTTGTATTTACAATATGGATTGATTTTTTTCATCTGTATTGGTGTGATTACAGTAAACAGTATATCGTATGGTCACATTCAGCTCAGACACACAGTTCTTAAAGTACATGGACAAAGCCTGGGGCACGGTGAATTGCTGCAGTGGGAATTTTTGCCTGAATCCACAATAACGTGCTTGAAGTGTTAGCTGACATCAAACAAAGCAGCAGCTGCAAAATCTGCACTGCTACAATATTACTCTTTCCGCATGTAGGTAGCATCAGCAAAAGTAGTAGAAGAATACTTTGATAAATGTGTTTGACCCTATAAATGCCAAATCTGATCTGTCACTGAAAGAATATCTGTCCTGCCCGTTCTCTATAGCCTGTTAATCCGCAGTGTAGCCGAACATTGTGTTCTTTGCTGACTTAATAATGTCACACAACTGCAATGTAACCAAGGTTACAAATATCACCAACACTGATACACCTACTTTTATGGAATCTCTTTTTGTTTTTAGGACATGAATGACTTCTCCCCCATCTTCACCCAAGATCTGTATAAGGGCTTGGTGGCGCCCAATGCAGAGAAAGGAACTGTCATCACAACTGTTTTTGCTGAGGACCGAGACCCACCAGTGAGTATAAAAAAAAACACATGTCACACTTTAACTTTATATTCAAAACATGCAATGTAGACCACATTGGTGGTTAAATTTCAAAGCACACAGAGCATGTTGACTCCATCTGTTTCTAAGGTAACAGTACAGCACATGCTGTGCTCTCAGAACATCAGGTAATTTCAGCCATAGCATTTAATACAATGCGTTTTAAAGATGTTTTCGATGCTCTCATTAGAGCTAGTGCTGTGTGTATATATAGTAAGGGGTCTTCGGTTGTATGAGTCTTCTATCAGTTGCCTCAGACAGCTTAATGTTTCCTCAGACTCCTTCACACCACTATATCTGAGCAGGTTCTCGTGGGACTGGAGCTGTGAAGATCCTTTTTTTCTTTTTTATGGAATCTGCAAATCAAGGAACACAATGCAGAAGAGCAATTGTGCCACAATGTTGAGACTATAAATGATATGAGGAAGAGGAGGCAGCACAGGAGCAATGGAGAACATTTTTGGGGGTTGAGAATCACATGACTTTTTTTAGTTTATGTCAATAGGGTTGACATGGTTGTAGATTTTTTTCTATTCGTGGACACTTTACTAAATCAGCGTTTTTCTCTCATAACACAATGTGTCTTTTGTTCCTTATTTTCAAATTGTCTCTGTGAAAAACGAAAGGAATAGAAATAGCCACCTGCTCTGAGTGTGTTTCTCAGTCTTGAAGTCTTGTACTGTATGGTTAGACTCGATGCTTGTTATTAGTGGCCCTCTTGCTGATGGGATCTCACCAGGGTCTGGGTGAGTTTATGTACTCTCTTAAATGCTGAGGGATATGGATGCCTGTCAGTCCCAGCTGTGGGTGGTAAAACATTCCCAGAGCGCCACAACGACCGCCGTTCATCTTATTTCTCCTCTCAGAGGGAGACTCTCCCCCTTCCCTTCTACTTTACCTGGCCACCTCTTCTCCACGTCGCTGTCTATGCAGCTAGGAAATCATTCTTTTTAATGTCAACTTTTCCTCTAGGATTTTATTCCCTGAACATTCTTATAGAGAAATCTTGTGCTAAGACCCAAATATTAGGTAGGAAAAATAAGAATTAAAGAAAATAATCATTATCCAGCTTACTTTTTATTGAAGTCCATAATACTGGTTGGCAGTCTTTAAAGCATCCAAGGCACTATGATTTTAAGTCAAAAATCCTTATTTGACATGTGTTGCATGGCATGTTAATACTGCCCGCTTAAAGAGACCACTTACAAGACATGACAATGGCAATAACAAAATAAGTGTAAACATGTACTTTAACAAGCACAATTCTGCTGGCCAAAACGAGATATTGAATCACAAATTAAGAAATTAAGAAATTCAGAATCACTTAATAAAGGCTCGGGTCACTGAGAAAAATGTACCAGTTTTTAGTGGTGTAATGATGTTTTTTTATATGGTAGGCCATGTTGCTGTACTGTGTGGTGAAGTAGATTCTGAGAGGTGCTGCTAACGGGGTCTCTTGTTCAGATGATGATTCCTGTCTAAGGATTTGGCTCCGGTGAAAGCTTGATCGAGGCCCTTTTTGTTGTAAGCCCTATGTTCAAATCGGTGATACATGTCTTTGGCTCGGTGTTCAAAAATCATTCTCAGTATATCTCAAATCCCTCTCAGCCTTTGAAACCGGCCATATGCTATATTTGATATGAGGCATTTTCCACCTTCAAGATGGTGACGATCAACAATGATTCTCAGGTCCAGAACATGTGTATTACAAACTGAATTTGATAGAGTTAGTGGTGTTAAGGTATATAAGGTACAAGAATAACAAAAAAGATCACCAATATATATCCTGTTCCACTTGATGTTGTCTTTGGAAAGATTGGTCTGGCTGTATATGTGCCTTTCTTTCCAAAGTTCCCAATAGATAGAGTACACACGGCTGTGCCCCTCACCTGTCTGTAAAGTCTAGTTTATGAACTTCGCAATAAAATCTGTGGGAAGAGTTCATATTTGGTCTCTGTTGTAAATAGTGATAAAGCATCTAGGCTGTCAAATAGTCTTTGTTTGTGTACAGAGACTTCACACTATAGTGACTTAGTGCATCGTCAATACGCTGTAACTCCTCAAACGTTTTAACACGTGATGTCCTGGAGATATGCTTCCAGAGAGCTGGTGACTGGTTTGATGAGAGAGTGAATGTATTTAGACGCTGGATCAGTGATAGTATCAATGATATTATGATGGGCCTGCCTAGGAGTGTGTTCAGATGTTGTTCATATTTGAAGGCAAACTAGGGTTTGGAGGCAGAAGGAAGTCACTGTGATCCATTTGTTTTCAAAAGCAGTGTCTACCATGGCTTTAAGTTTGTATTCCATCATTTCAGTGGGATTGGAGATTAAAGGGACATAATATTGTGGGTCCCTGAGTTGTCCGAGAGCCTCATCCCTTATCTACTGGCTATATGGCACATTCATGTAGTTAACAGATGGTGTGGCTACTGCATTAGCAAGCCTGTTGTTATACCATGCCTCCAAATTTAGATCACAATATAAAGATGTTTGTGTTATAGGAGCAAAGGAAAGACCTTTTGACAGGACTCAAAGAAAAGAGCGTTGCGGAAATATTGATTACCTTCTCCTGGTTTGTGTCCAGTGAAATCCCCCTGGCCATAGGCGGTAGTCCTAAAGTGCCGCCTTCCTCCTCAGTCTGCCCTGTCGTTTTTTCCTAGTAGTGGAGGCTTACTGATACTGATACAGAGGGAGCTTGACTGTTTCTATAACATGACAAAATAGATGTGTATGACCAGGAATATATTGTCTTCTCCTTGTAATCATCAATGTCTTGTATTCTATTTTTTAATATTTATTTAGTCTTTGCCAGAGATTTACTAAGTTTGTCAATGTCTTCGCGGCGTTTTACTTTCCGTGATGACGTAGTTCCGCCCTGAGTCTTTTTATCTACCTTGATTAAACACATCAAATCCAGTGAACATTTGTTAAGGATTGTCTTCCATTTGTTTTTAAAGTCTGGATTGCCCCTACCAAAGAAGGGAAACTGATTATTAAACCTTTGGGCATAATTTCCTCTGTGCAGTAGTCAAAAAGTGTGATAGCATGTAATTCAAATTTCTTGTCCTTTTCCAGGACTTTTCTTAGATCTAGGTAAGAGGCCTGTGCCTCAGTGATTTATAATGAATCCATGTTGAACAAAGACTCTTTGACAATGATATCATTGCCTTTTTCGATGGTGAATGAAAATGTATTACTCAATCTCTGTGACATCCTGACTATAAAAAGGCCCACTATCCGGAGCAGCAGAACGGGGCGACTCGCCAGACTAAGCCCCAATTCACTGATTCTGAAGAAAGAATAGGGAGTGCTGTACTGGGTCAAGAAACTCGCTGTTGGTGAGGTTGAAGTAAAAATTGGTTTCTCTTCAAGGAAGAGGCAAGTAGTCGAGTAAGAATAAAAACCAATGACTGTCCAGCTCACTTTAAATGAAGTCCATGTTATTGGTACAATCTCTGATTGTAAGTTTTCATTGACAAAGGGAAAACACAATTTGACTCAAGTCTTCATCAGGCTATGAAGTGCAATGAGGACAGGTGGTTTTTTTTTAAATGAAAACCCATCAGGAGATCATGTGACAAGAGGAAATCATCATCATGTTATCATGAGCACAGTGGCAGCGAGTGAGACATAGGAATGACTCTGTGAAATGGCTTGACAGACAAAGGGATTAGATTTTCTAACAAGAGCTGACTAACCCAGTCTCTCATTGACCTGGATTTGGGAGCCCAAAGCATTTTATTGACAGGATGCCTGTCATAGATATCTCATGGTTGAACAGGGCTTAGGTGAGTGCTTGCTAAGTACACACACACACAGTCTCTCTATTACACAGCCTCATAAAAACGGCACACACAAAAGAAAGAGTGGAAGTGACTCACTCTGGCTTTTAGTCTTGATGATACAAACATGAGCCTTGCATATTTAGTTTGAAGGTTATAATGATGTAGTGACCATTCCTTCTCTTATTTTGAAAAGAGGGCACAATATCTATCCCCCTGTGCATTGGGAGTTATTCTAATGGTTTTTAAAAAGTGTATTTTGGGCAGTGCCACTCAAACCAATAGCCTCCATGTTAATAACACTGTGAATGAGAGAGGAGATCACCATGAAGACAAATGTTCCTGGAAGAAAGCTTGATTCTTCAGCACAAGATTTGTAGAGTTTGTTATTTGTGACTGAATTTAAAAGTTGTTGTTTTCTCTACGGCATTATGCATCACAGCAGAGAACGTTCACTGTTATAGAGATTCACATTTCTTCACTATTCTAGTACATTACATCCCTCCTTGTTTTGTATAGCGCATTATCCCTGTTTATTGGTCACTAACTGTTTCACAACCCAACCATATTAAGTTGTATGAATGTGTTGACTTTGTGTTTTACACTCTCAGCTTGCTCAATCCTTGTTTTTATGTTGTTTTTCTCTGACGCATCAGTCGGTGCTTCTTCATGCTTCTGAGCTTGTTCTTTAATTCATGAACCAGCTATTCTATACTGAAGAGAATTGGGTTCTATGTTGCAACAAGGAGGAATAATGTTGATGCCAAAGTACTAACAACAGTATATCTACATTTTTTGTTGCTCATCTGCAATGTTAATAAAGCAGTGAGGTCACTCAGGGGTGGACATAAAACATTCATAGTCTGTGAGTCAAACGCCAGACAAGAAAGGTGTCTGTGCAGCTGCAAATGTCTGTCGACAGAGACAGACTGAGATGTCACTGTAACTACAAGATACAGTTTTGAATGGTGTTGTATTATGAGTGAGGGAAATTGTCTCATTTTTGTTTATTTACTGGTTTGATTTTGGTCCTGATATTCTAAAGCTCAGTTGGATGCAAACTAATGATACAAATGGGAGAAACAATAAATGGAGGTTCGCTGCTGCTGCTAGTTGACTATACAATATGTTAATTCCTTGAACAAAGTACTTTCAACTTTATCTGCTGCCATCACTGTAAAAGTCTTGCTACTGAAGTCACTGTATTCGACTCTTCTGTGGGAGGTGTTTTCTTTTTTTTTTTTTTTTATTGGCCCTGTCCTGACATCTTTTCCATGAAATGTTGGAAAACAAGTTGAAGAGCTTTTAGAGACGAGGCCCTTTTTCTGAGAATCCCCTGAGTGAATTCACTCAGATAGTTTTGTAACCTCTTAGAGACGCATTTGTGTGAGTAAGCCTCCCAAGGGATCCATTGCTACTGCAGGATTTCCCTCTCTCTCTAGCCCCAGGTTCTTACCTCGTCCCAGGGGAGCCAAATCAGTTGAGGCAAGGGAGCAGAGTCTCAAAAAGAAGAGGCCCAAAGAGATGAACCGGTATAACATAAATTATAGATGCGATTACTAATCAGGAACTGTGATTAATCTTAATCAAAGGGTCATACTAAAGTCCAGGCTCTCGCTAATGAATGTAAGTGTGTTACTCTGGAGACAAGAGGGGTGGGTTTAATGGAGAAGGTTTTTATTCCAAATGAAAGGGAAGAGGTCTGAATCAATGAATAACAGTGAGAATACATTAGATGGCCTGATTTGGAGAGAGACGAGTAAGACATTAGGGTCATTTTTCAGGTTACATAGAGAGAAGAGCAACCTTTTCTTACTTTAACCATTATTTTTAAGTTTTTCTAATTGTCAGATACATATATATATATATATATATACAGTACATGTAATTTGTGTGATTATTCAAGAGAGTATTTCTAAGCAAACAATATTGCTACTCCCTTATGGCTTTAATACATTCTACAGAACCCAATTACTTTGAAACACTGTCTTCCATCTTCACAGCTTCATTTGAAAATGTGACAGGTGGGTACCAGATAAGTGGATTGATGTGGTTCATGTTCTTCTTTCTCCTTCCTCCAGGGTACTCCGGCAAGTTTTGTCCGCTACAGAGTGGACCTGGACAGGTCACCGTACAGCGGGAGCATCTTTGATGTGGAAGAGGTAACTGGAAGAGTCATCACTAAGGTCAACCTCAATGAAGAGCCCAGTGTCACCTTTAAGGTGAGTGGTGGTGATTATCTGCTGCCCCTTGTAATGTCGGTGTGTTGGACTTATATAAAAAGGAAAATGTTAAACTGTCGTTAGTATGTACAAAATAACTACAGTATATAAGCTTTCAACATTTGACTTGAGCTAATAATGATGATGGGGATCTTATGGAGGCACTAGTAAGTATAATTGATGAACGCTATTATAATGATAGTCATCATTAAAATCTCATCCTGTATCACAAACACGAGAAGTTATTTACAGCATGGATGCTTTCTTGTTCTCCTGATTGATGTTAACATGCCTGCATGTTTTAGGGTACTAAAAGTTGCACTGAAGATCAGCGGGTCAGAAATTTGCACATTGACTTTTTAAAATCGAAGAACAGGCATTATTACTCAATTGTCTCAGTGGTCATGTCATTGCTTCTCGTGTGTCTGTGACCAGTAATATTGAGTTTTTTTTATCGATCAAACAAATTCCCTCCCGAGTGCTCACATAAAGGGTCTTTTACGGTGGATCTGGTGCTTTAGGACATGAGCAGATGTGTTGCTTACACTCCAATCTTGTCTGGACACCTCTAGCTTCTTTTTGTCCTCCTCTGTTTTTCTTTAAACATTTATCTGTGTTTATTCTTTTTCCGCCTATCTCCCCCTCTCTGCCGCCTCGCTCCCCCTGCTTCCCCCCAGGCTCCATTCTCCACAGTCTATGAATGTAGATCAATACGTTCACACTCGCTCTCTGGGAGCTTTGCAGGCTGCTCGCCAGATCATATTTTACCAGTCTGTTTTTATTAGGATTCCAAACATGTCGAGCAAAAATACCTGGCAACCTCAAAAAGGTTATTATTTGTGTAGTGAGTGGTAGTATGGTGAAGAATAATAATAATTGTGTGCTTGCATTTGCATGTGTGTGTGTGTGTTCTTTATGTGCTCTCTCCTGCCCACTGCAGTTGTTTGTGATAGCCTATGATGATGGAGAGCCTGTGAAGTCTAACGGCACTTCGGTGGAGATCACTGTTCTTCAGCCTTCCCGCATCCCGATCTTCACCCAGGAGGACTACAGGTACGTCTCCTTGACACACTGTTGATGCAGCTGCCTCTGCCTGTAAATTCACACATCAAAGAGCAGCTTAGGCTGTAGCACCAGGCAGGGAGCGATTGTGAAAAAAGGCTGGAGTAAGTAGTGGACAAAGAATCTTAAATAAAACGCACATTTATCTTCCATTCAGCTTCTGTTATTCTATTATTTTATCACAAGGTAAATTATATGTTCTCACTTGAACTGCCGCAAATGGCCGTGAAGTGATTATTCTTCATACATTTATTATTTTGTGATAACGGTAGCTATCTGGGCATTATTGCGCTTCCCGAATAAAGAGGCCCCAGTTTTGATTCGGTGGCTCCGTCTTTATCACGCTGTCTTTTCCGTGCATGACTGATTAATGAGTTTTGAGTATAAATATGCATAAGAGCTTCGGGGTAGATGCTGCAGATCGTCACTGCTGTAAACCACATTTGTGTCTCTCCGAGGGTAAAGCCTCTGAGTTTATGAAGAGTCTCATTTGACAAGATTAAGTGTTTAGACTGGTAAACTGGAAGAGAGAGAGAGAGAGAGAGAGAGAGAGAGAGAGAGAGAGATGCAGGATGAGGCAACATAATCTGCAGTGCTCTGAGATGACTGGCTGCTACACATGCGATATACGGCTGTACCGGGTGAGGGCTCGGTGGAGTTTGTCTGTACTGATGGTATTGTGACTCAAGAGGAGGCCACAGTGTCATTTATAATTAAAGATAAACATGGATTATTAACACTCTCCAGCTGAAGCTGCTTTGAAAAATCCTCCATGATGAGCGAATGCTAGCATTAACTGTGCTGTCTATTTTGTAACGCTACGGTATAGGTACCTGTCTGCAGTGTTCAGGAGACTCTAGCCAGACTGAGAAGCTTCAAGGTCTGATGGCAAAGTTGCCTGGCACATGCAGTTCTTGGGAGCTTAAAGTAAAGCTTGTTTAAAGCGGATTGTTTTACTAACTTGGATGTCAGTCAAAGTAGGGAGTCTTGGCAGACTATACTCTATAACAGAATTTGATATGCCTTTACGCATAAGACAGGGAATGTAAGGCCTGGCCAACTTGTCAACACATCAAGCGAGGTGTGCGTATCTTTGTTTGTGCACTAGTATGCCTTTCTGCCCATCTCACTTACTTTCGTGACTGTGTGCCTGTTTGTGTCAGTACTTGTGTATTTCCTAATACAGATGAGTTTGTGTGTATTGCCTACATCCTTTGTAATCCAGCACTTTGTGTGTGCGCTCACGTACTCCCGCTCAGCTTTATTCAGTGATTGATACGCAGGCAGAGCGGCACAGCCGCTGAAAGGCCATTGATTAACACTTTGAATGAGTGCTCTGTCTGACACACACACAGAGGGTCGGGACCAAAGGCACAGACCTTTGTAAGGTGTCACATTGACAGTGCCAACCACACGCAGTGGCAGGCCTGCTGTAAATTGTGAGCCATGAAAGCATTAACCAGGTGCGCAAGCCTCTCCTGCTGGACAAGGCTCTCTCCAGCGGAGAGCGTCCAATCTGCTCGCTCTGCGATGATCTGTCTCCTCGTTCCTCGCCTCTCTATCTCTCCCCATCGTCTTCTCCCTGAGGAACCTTCTGAGCACAAATCACTCTCTAAACGTCCACAGAAGATCTCGTATGTCTCCGTACAGGCAGTTAGTTATGGCAGCAATCAGGTAAGCTATGCCTACAGCTCCAGAGCACACAATTAAAACAACTCTGCAGGGCTTTGGCTGACTTAATGATTTCTGCTCCTGCTTTATGGTCGGTCCCCTCCATCTGTCAGAGGGAAATGAGGGGCTCCTAGTCGTCGTTGGCTAAAATAAATGGCTTATACCGCAGTTGCTACTGTAGCAGCATGTTGCCACTTGCTTTTCAAAAGGTTTTGAGCAAAACACCTTGTGTTGTTTCTGTGGAAATACAAATGATATGTTTAGAGTTTCACAGCCTCTCTGAAATTATTTTTAACATAATCCTTGTGGCTATATCGTATTGGGAGAGATTCTCTCGTTTTTTAGAGCCTTAATAACATCATCTTGATAGCTGCAAAATCTGCTGCAACTTTGGCAACATTTTTGCAAAGTATCTGTGTTATAACTGTCATCATCATTCTTTATTATTTAGTTGTTTTCTATTTCTCATAAACACTGTAGATATCTGATATCAATTCCTTGTCACACACAGTCTGTCTTATTGTTTTCAAATAATGCTTTTACTACACTAAATGTATCTTTATCAAACACCAGGTGTTTTGCAGACATGTTTAGCTCATGATCTAATAATCGAGCACCGTCTTGGCCTTGTTTTTAACTGAAACTTGGCAAGACCAAGAAAACAGTGCAGCAGTTCTTATTGAGTCAACTTTGGTTTTATGAGTGACCTCTCGGATGGTTGGCTAAAACTAAACAGGGAAAAGCAGCATTCAGTTTTTATGCACCACATATCTGGAACAAACACCCAGAAAAGTTTTTCTCTCTCAGTTCTTTTCAATTAGGACTTTTCCATTTCTTGCACTGCACTGCAATGTTTATTCTACTGTTTGATTTGATTTGACTTATTTATTTGAATCTTATTTTTAGCTTCTATTTTATTTTGCATACTCTTTTTTAAAATCCTATCTGTGTTGTTTTTTTCTACTGTCTTTTTCTATTGACTTGTGTTTTTTATATCTTGTCTTAAAGCCTTCGTGTCTTAAAAAATGTGCTTTTCAAATTTATTTTCAAATAAATGTACCTTGTCTGGCCTGTGCAGTATTAGTGATGTGATGTCATTATTTGATGCATAAAGGGAGAAATTAAAGGTACAGTTTACCCTTAGATCCATGCCTTCTTTCAAATATAATGGGACTAAATGTCACAAAAATGCATTTGAAAAACTCAACAGCAATGACTTGGTTACTCAAGATAATTCACATCCCTTGTTTTGAGCAGTTTCATAAAGGAACTATCTTTTTCAAGCATAGTTCCTTCATGAAACTTTTCAAATGTCATGCTTTTAGCCCCACAAGCCGAGGGCCATATAGTCCCATTATATTGGAGAGAAGGCAGACATCTCTACGGCAGATATATCCCAAATTGGCAACTTACACCAAAACGATCCAGATTGAGAGACAGCAAAACTGATAAGAGTCATACAAATATGTATTCTTGATTTTCGGGTGAACTGTCCCTTTAAGTGACTATGGAGTCAGGACTGTGGTTATGAATACGCTGCATCCTACAGCAGCTCTACCACTTCCAAAAATGTTGGGGGGCGGGGGGGGTATGATTAAACCACTGAGAACGGCTCATTTATATGGTACTCATGGACACAACCCTTTGGGGAAGTCTTTAGCACTGGGCACATGGGAAGGGAATGAATATGTATTTTCCCCTGTGTGTATTGCTGGAGATGAGGAGGGGTAAGCTGCTATCTAACATGGGCACACTATGTGAATCCCCCTCTCTTGTACTGAGGCCACTTCTCTGGCCTCGGTGTTACAAACCTGTGGTCGGAGCAGTTTTCCGTGCTGCTTATCTCCCCGCAGCACTTCCCCTTCTAAATCTGCTCTAAATCACATGAGACTTTTGCCTCACTGCTCCTGAGTATGTCATTTTGCTCGCCTCTTCCTTTCACCCCCCCCAAGCCTCCTCTCAGCTTATACCTCTCTCTGTCAGTTTCTCTCTCACTTTGTCTTCCCTTTTCTTCTCTCCTCACTGTACAGTCAGTAGCCCTTCATTTTCTCCTCAGCGAGAGGGTGAATTTCTGTCTGTGTGATTCAGTGTGCCTGTGCTAACACTTGGATGCGTGCATTCCTTCATATAAAGTCCTCACTTGATATGTGTTTTGCTCTCGATTAACCTATTTTGGCCCAAACAATTATTTGCTTTCGGGCCTACTGTCATTTAATATATGTCCATATTAATATATTAACAGTTACCTTGTAAACTATTTCAAAAGTTGGTCTTTTTAGTGATTGGAGAGGATATCATTTGGGAGTGAAATGTCACACCATTATTTAGTTCACTGTAGTCGCAGACAGCAGATGTTATGCCATACCTGTCACATTGTTATGCAGTCTGTCAAATCTGAGAAGAGCACCACAGCCTATTATTGAGCGAGGCTCAAGTTGTACTGCATAGTAAACAGTGTCAACATGGAGTATTACTACAATCAACAACATGCTGTCACTATATGCTTGCCGCCCCACTAATTACTCAAATTAGTGACTGCATGCTAAAAAGACTGTGGAGGCATTTTGTTTGCTCCTCCATACATACATCTGCAAGCACATAAATCGAACATTGTCTTGGTTGCAGCCGGCACTCTTAAAGGTGCATTTTGTATGTAATGGAGAGACAACTTTTCTCAACATTAGTTTTTCCTATTTCTCCATTAGCCATTCTTACTCTGGCCATTATTGTGAATGTCGGTGGTAATAGCTCAAACTGTGGAATATTATACAACACGTCTCTTTCCTGCAGTTTCTTGATGTTTACAGACCATGGAGACTGCCAGTGTAAATTTTATGACCGCGGTGTGACCATTGATTTAATGTTCTCAGCGGTCCGCCTCACAAATGGCTGCACCTGAAGTACTTGAAGTAGACATGTCATGTAGCTTGAAATACAAGCCGCACTGGACTCCACAGCCATTGGCCTCTCATCAAAAAGCAATTAATTGCCAAATTAACGTAAAGGAAAAAAAACTGCTTCTCATTTTAGAGGATATAAAAGGAAGAAACTGAACTCTGTCCCCTCCATCAACTCTTCCTGAGATGTGGAGGAAAATAGCATTTATCATTTTGAGAGAAAACAAATCCATCCATATCATTTCTAATTCAGACAAGGCTGCAATTCTCCCATAATTAGGCAGATGACATGCTTTCATGGCATACAGCTATTTTATTGGCTGCCTTCTTGGAACTGTTGTCCTGCCAGACGTATACACAAGTGATGGAGGTGCTCACAGCCTACTCGTTTATGCTCATTGCCAGGCATTTAAAGGGTTAGCT